GTCCAACACAGAGTCCAACACAGAGTCCAACACAGAGTCCACAACACAGAGTCCAACACAGAGTCCAACACAGAGTCCACAACACAGAGTCCACAGCACAGAGTCCACAGCACAGAGTCCAACACAGAGTCCAACACAGAGTCCACAACACAGAGTCCACAGCACAGAGTCCAACACAGAGTCCAACACAGAGTCCACAACACAGAGTCCACAGCACAGAGTCCACAACACAGAGTCCACAACACAGAGTCCACCACAGAGTCCACAACACAGAGTCCAACACAGAGTCCACAACACAGAGTCCACAACACAGAGTCCAACACAGAGTCCAACACAGAGTCCACAACACAGAGTCCACAACACAGAGTCCAACACAGAGTCCACAACACAGAGTCCAACACAGAGTCCACAACACAGAGTCCACAACACAGAGTCCATCACAGAGTCCACAACACAGAGTCCACAACACAGAGTCCAACACAGAGTCCAACACAGAGTCCACAACACAGAGTCCACAACACAGAGTCCACAACACAGAGTCCAAAGTCAGAGCTAACATTACAAACTGAAGTTCTACAGTTGATTATTGATTACGGATCAATACTGCGGTCGGTTTCTTTCATTACTCGTATTAGTACTACATTCTTTCAGTGAGAGCTCTGATTGGTTGGAGAGAAAATAAAACCTTTGATCTGAAGCTCGCACACGGCGGGCTGCGAGGATGTTCTCTCCTCTGTTGCCACGGCAACGGCATGAAAAGAGGCTGCTCGGATCAAGTGTTTCGTTCCTCGTCTCCATGTCGGCTGGATTCAGAGCAGAGATGCAGGTTTCTAACAGTCGGTGGGGTGGAACCGCTCAAAGATCACAGTGATCTGCTCCATTATTGATCCAGAGGAACGTGTCTGAGCTCTTTCAGCTGGCGTGAATCTATCTGAGTTGCAGGTTTCCCCAGCGGACATGCGGCCGTGCTGCTGTTTGTGCATCAGAGAAACTGCTTTGCATGCCGCTGGCTGTGAGTACTCACACCGACCCACAGCAATCTGAAACTGTGGAGTTATCTGCTCATCAGCTCTACTTGCTCCAATTTCATCCTTAATTTGACTAATCTGACAATTCCAGCTTGTGTTTCAAAAACCCGGCCGGTTTACTACGGCTTCCTTAAATGTAACTGACAGCATGATGGAAACAGAGTAGCACGAGTCCTGCTTTCAGGTCTATAATTAGAGTCAAAATGCATTAAAGGGACCTGTTCTGCTCATTTGCAGCTCTGTGCTCTCAGTCTGAGACTCTTTGTACGATTCACAAACAGCATTATTTATCTGACAGCGGCCCTCAGCTCATCCCGTCTCACCCCCCCCTTTAGCTGCTAACTGCTGCTGTTAGCTGTGGAAACCTCCTGAACCATGAACACTGAAGGACTGACAGTGATGGTGGTGAAGACAACAACTCCCATGATCCCACGCTGCTTCACCAGCTCATTTAACTTCCTGAACTGGTCGTCCTCTGTGCGCTCAGTGTTTAAACAAACTGACCTCCAGGAATCACACAATGACGCCACCGGCTCAGAGTCAGAGAGCTCAAACAGATCTGCTGCTTTGTTTCGATGCAGATTCCTCAGCACAGAGGTCTTCATCAGGACAAAACCTCGAACATTTGATCACAAATTAAAGACGACTGATTCCACCTACAGCAGCCCGAAGGACCACAGGGTGGAAATGAACCACAGTTGCCATGGTGATAGGCATGATCCTCACACATATGTGGCTCTTTCTCTCTCCCTCCCTCCAGCCGACAGCAGGTACTTCTGTTCCTCCTCCTCCTCCTCCTCCTTCTGGTTACCATGGAGACGTCTGTTGGTCTCCTCTCGGAGGAGTCTCGCCCCGCTGATTAAATCAGGCAGCACCTCAGGGAGACGCAGGCTGTTTGCTGTAGTAGGAACACTTTGGATCTTCACTTCCACTTCCTGCTGTCGCACCACCGACGCCGCACACAGACGACGTCCCGTCTGACACAGAAAAACGCTTCGTTATAACCACAGCGGTTCGGACCAATCAGCGTCCTCCGAGGAGCGACGTGGTCGGAGAGACGCTCTTACAACCAGCTACAGGTTTATTAGCTAGTTTCACACAAAGATGATAGAAACATTCAATTCTGATACATTAACAAAGCTAGCATAGCTACTAATTTCTCACAATGTCAGATTCAAACGTTCGTAACATCGATGTGAGAAATCAGTAGCTACGCTTATTGTTATCGTCAGGACAACCACGAGAACCACGACGGCTCGGTTCAACACCACGATGTCCGCTTTGTTCTTTTTTTAATGTTTGTATATTTAATGTCTGCGAACCGAGTGTCTGATGGTTGACAGCTGGTAAATGGACCTTGAGCTGGGTTCGTTCTGAATCCAAGAGTCAGTGTTATGAACTTTACAGATCCATCTCCATGGCAACAGAGCGAATCTGTGGATGATGGGATGTGGTTGAAAGCTCTGGAAAAAGTGGATCAAACCATTTCTTTTATTCTGATGTAAAGACATTGAGACAATGTGGAGTCACAGCGGACGGGTCGGATTCATAACGTACACAAATGTTCTCAACCGCTGACTCGTGACCTCATCATTACCTGTCATTTGACACTGTGGGTGAAACCGGCCAATTAGCTTCCTCCTGATGGTCAGACGGTCTCCACCACAGCAGCATCCTCTTCAACGAAATGTATGCAAACTCTAAGAAAATAATATTCCCCCAAAGGCCCGATTCATGTTCACTTCCTCCGTGTGGGCAACACCTGGGTCACACACTCAGGTAACAGGTAACGCTCAGGTGTCCTCCAGTTTCTGTCCAACAGGGACAGGAAGTCCTGATTCTGGTATTTTAGAGTTTCCTGATAATCAATAAAAGTATTTGATGACCCATCCTGCACTCGGGGACGTATACTAACTCTCTTCTGATTTACAGAGTGATGGACAGATAGCTTTAACTAACTGCTGCTAACTGTATCTGCCGTTAGCGGGCAACAGAACCAGGATCGAACACAGCCGCCAATATTTCAACTCCACGTTGGCTGATTGATTCATTGTGAGGTTTTTAGATGATAAATACACTTAATATTATATTAAATTTCTGACTATTTGTCCTCCTAAATGTTTCTCACTGCACCTTTAAACTAAATAAACTATTTAAGAGAGTTGATGATTAAACTAGCACCAGTGTATAAAGTAGTTATAAAAATATAATACAGCAGTAATATTGATCCAAACACATCAGATATTGAACCGTGTTTGTGGATCCGGACCGACCCGAGAGCCTCAGGACACACAGGAGGAAACACGCCGCTGCAGAGACCCACAACGGGCCGAGCTGCTGCGTATTCAGAGCCGCTGGAGCGGACTGAGGCCCAGAGGTGTTAACTACAAAATTCCTAAAGAACTGTTGATTGTGCCTCGCTCTGGCCCGTATGTTAATACCATGTCTTGCTCTCTACCACGCTAGCGCTAGCATATTAATCCTCCCTATAGCATATTAATACCATGTCATTCTCTTTAGCTGGCTAGCTAGAGCTAGCACACATAAACACATTAACCAAAGCTAGCGCTTAGCTACGTGCTAATCGCTAGCTACGTGCTAATCGCTAGCTAAATCGCTAGCTAAGTGCTAGCTTTGGTTAATGTGTTTAATTGTATTATGCTCCTGAAGGAGTGCTAATGTAAATTAAGGAACAGCTCATAGTAGGGTAAAATATTTAAGGTGTATTGTTCTTATTTTGTGTTAATATTAAAATCATTCAGCTTTAAATTGTTTGCTTGTTAGCCACCTGCTAATTATCTTTAGCTAGCCAGCTAGCGCTAGCTTATTAATGTCTTGTCATTCTCTGTAGCTAGCTGTGTGTGTGTGTGTGTGTGTGTGTGTGTGTGTGTGAGCAGGCTTTGGTTGTCATGGCAATCAGGGGAGCCCACAGCAGCTGCGCACGCTCTCTCTCTGTCTCTAACTCCTCAGAGAGACAGAAACATTTAAAATGAATCCCCTCGAACCCATGGCCAGGAACGACCGAAATGAAAACCGAAAACACCGTGAGCGTCGTCATCTTGTTGACTATAGCACTGCCGAGTTTCAGTGGTTAAAGTTAAAAAATGTGACCTGGGGAGATTGAGAGAGAAGAGGTTCAACGAGCTCCTTTAAACATTTCTTCTCTAAAATTAACATGGGAGTAGATGGGGCCATGAGAGGGCGTTGCTGGCGCATCAGTGCGTCTCCCGCCAAAAGTATTTCTCTGACAGCTTCAGCAGTAGTATCACTGTGACCCCAACGAATTTACCTACGTTTCTATCTATAAATTATTTCTGTAGAGTGACATTTGTGGTCTTGAGAGCAGTTTACAAATTTATTTTTCGACAAATTTTTCTCTCTCCCCACACTCTAGCGATGATGTCACGCACTCTGGCGGTTGAACATTCTCGCAATACACACCCATTCATTTTTTGGACCGGTTTTTGACGATTTACTGGCAAACCGTTTGGTGAAACGCTTAGAAAAGTCAGAGCACTAATGTCCTCACCGAGCCGCACGTTTTGATACCTTTTTTGTGTACGTGCGACCAAAACTGCGGGAGGAGTAGCGCGCCGAAAAACGTACGGAAGAAGAATAATAAGCCCGAGGGAGAGTAGTTTGCTTATGCAAGGCACAATAACTACTGCGGCTCAGAGGAGCAGAGGAGGCCACACAGAGGCCACACAGAGACCTCCTCTCAGACGGGGTTCAGAGACTCTCCAGAACCTCCAGAACCTCCAGAACCTCCAGGACCTCCAGAACAGTTTTATTGTTTCATTAAGACGACTGACGCTCTGCTGAATCAGAACCACTTCCACAGTGACGAGATGGATTAATATGGAGCTTAAAGGGACAGTCTGATATGTGTCCATCCAACCAGACTCCATTCACAAAAACATCATTTTAAGCCTGATTTATACGTCTGCATCAAATTGGCAGCGTGGTAAAACAGAGTGCTGTGATTGGTCCGTTCGGTGTGAGTGTGTCTGAGAACAACCCAGATGAGTTAAAGCTCCAGTGTGTCACATTATTACTGTAATATAAATCCATAGGTATGTTTTTATTAGTGTTTAATCAGCTGGATATAAGAATCATTGTGTGTTTGTTACCTTACAATGAGACAGAGGCAGCGGCTCCTCTTCTGGTGGAGTCCGCCATGTTTCTACAGAACGGACAATTCAAACACTGGATCTAGTTAGGTGGCGTTTGTTCCACAGCCACCATAGTTTCACCTTGAAGAGGGTGAAGCGAGGGAGTTGCAGTCTCTAACTAGACCACAGCAAATCATAAAAAACAAACACATTCTCTCGTCTGTGCCGTTGTTAATACGAGGAGAAAACAAAACAAGGAAAACCCGACAGGTTGAGGAAGTGTTTCAGTTTCAGTCGAAGCAGAACTCAGTCAGCCGCCAACCAGCGTCAGAATAAATGCTCACAATGACGTACAGCTACAAACCCGCCGCTATCTCACAGAGCGCGGGAGGTGGTCGCATCCAAACTAATTCATTAAAAACAAACAAACATAGACAAACACACAAACAGATCTCGAACCAGCAACCGCCTCCGGCTGATACAAACACACACTTTATGAGGGAACACAGCATCTTCATCCATCGTCCACGTTTTCATCGGGTCTAGTTTAAAAGTCAAATCACTGCAGGACGGTTCTCTAAAATCTGTGTTTCATCCAGCAGGAAGGTGGATTCAGGCTCTGATACACTAAATGGAACTGAACCACAATAATCAGTTTAATTGGTAACAACACCTGTGTTTACCCTACTGTTTCAGGTAAAAATGGCCGCTGTGAAAAAGGACTATACCAACAGAAAAACAACAACATGGACAGAAGCACGAGAATTTCAAAGTAAAAGCACTCTTTAGCCCATTTCAGAGGGTTCAGTCATGTATAAATATATATAAATATATAACTATATTCATATATATATGAATATACAAATATATATATATGAATATACAAATATATTTATTTATATTTTAATAAAATATAAAAACATCAATAAAAATACATTTTCTTTCTTACTGAACCTTTAATCTGTAATAAAGCTCATATTTTAATTATAATATTAGATATTAATAAATTAATCAGATGTACAGTTTGCTGTCAGTAAAAATACTCAGATTGTACAGCACAATACTAGAGTAAATGTACTTAGTTACTTTCCACCACTGGAAGAATTTACTGACACAATTACAGTAAAATAACATTATTATTATTATTATTATAATTGTTATTATTATTATTATTATTATTATCATTAGTATGATTAAAGGCAGCACTGATACTGATACTAAGAGCCTCGTTGTAACAGCAGTAATATTACAGCAGGATTACTGACAGCAGGATTACTGACAGCAGGATTACTGACAGCAGGATTACTGACAGCAGAAGCTACCTGAACTACTTCCTTACCTTACTGTATCCTGCAGTCTTCACTCAGGTCCGCTGATGTGCAGCAGGGACTCGGTCTGTCCGGTGATCCTCCGACCGTCCGTCCGTCCGACCGGAGCCGATCTGCTGCTGATGGAGGTTCAGTAAAGTTCACATCATTTAACTGAGAGCATACAGGAAGTGACAGGAGGCGGCCTTCAGAATAAAGGCATGGGAAATGATCTAAATAAAAGCGTTTGAAAGAAATGTGAGCAGACAGGGATGGAAGTTATTATTATTATTATTTATTGTTATTATTCGTGAGTTAATGATCTGGAAACATGAAACTTGGTCCAATAACAGGAAATAATGTGTATGTGCTTCCTCAGAAACATGAGCCCAGTTGGCCAGATGGTGGCGCTGTCATTAAGGCCACTTTGTAAAGGCCACGCCCCCTCACAACATAAGTCTGATTGACCTGAAATTGGACCCAGGAGTCGGCTCGATGTGCTCCACAGAATCCTTCTCCAACCTTAAAGTCTTATTTAGGTTTCAAGATATCGACCAATGAGCTGCAGAGGGGGCGTGGCTCAGCAAAAGAAACTTAATGAACATAATTTAAGACGTATTTCACGTCCATAAAGTACAAATTATATTAAGGAAAATGATATTGGCTTCATGTTGGTTTAGTATTTGTTACGTCAGGATCAATACTCACGTAAAAGACTGAAAAATTCAACTTTATTAATCCAATACATTTTTAAGATAATTGGATTTTAGACGCCTGATGACGAACTGTGAGTCTCAGAAGGTTTCTGGTCGTAGTTGACGTCTTTTCCTCGTATTTAATCACAAATCAACTAATTTTATATCCACTGTCAGACTTTCACCACTTAAATAAATGAACATAAAACTTCAAATTTATTCATTTAGATCAACTTTTTGAGTTGTGTTGACATAAATGTGGAAAAACTAGTTGGAAGTTTCAACAACTCAAAAACTTTGATGCTGGGTTAAGTTTTGTTGTGGTGAAAGTTTGTGTATAAATTATTATTATTAACAAACAGATGAAAATATACGACGTGTTTAACTTTCTGAGGGAAACCACCAGCAGTGAGGTGGGTGGAGTCACTGATGATTTACAGGTAAATGTGTCTCCAACAGGTAAAAATACCCACAGTTCAACTGTATGGATGCAGCTGGAGCTGAATGAGGAAATAGATTAATGTGTTTGTGTGTGAACTGGCCCTTTAATCAGTCAGCAACAGTGCAGCAGCGCCTCCTTGTGGCCGAACAACCACATTACAACCACACTGGAATAAAACCAGGACTATTTCTTATATTTATTTATATATATTATATTATTGGACACAATCAGCCATCAATAACCCCAATGTTTGTTTTTTATGTACGATTTAAGACCCAGATAATAAAAACCTAAAAATCTTCATTCTGTAGATCAGAAAGATCAATAATAATAATCAAAATAAAAGAATAATTTAGGCCGAATTTGACTAATAATTAAATAACAAACTTTAATCCACAATAATAATAACAAACTGCTCTCAGATAGTTCATCTGTAGAGTCCTGAAAATAGTCCAGAAATATTGATCAGATTTAACCAGTTTAACCATATTTAATATTTGCTGTCAATAAACAGCTGATTTCAGATAAATGGTCAAACACATTTCCTGTGACTTCATAATAAAAGTCAACTTGTGTTTGTCCAGTTAAATGCTTTTAATGTGAAGCTGCAATAAATTAAATACATTTTTCTTCTTTAGAAAAAAAAGAAAAAATCTGTATTCAAACATTTTTCAGAAAACTCTTAAAAAATTAAAGGTGAATTTTATATTTTTAATTTAAACTTTTATTTCCAACAAATAATGAAAGATTGGATTAATCACTGTGAATTATTATTGAAACACAGAACAAAGAAAATTAACTCAACAGAAGATTATAAATTGGCATAACCTTTAAGTTCGAGTTTGACTACAACTTAAACATTTAGTGACAGAAATTATTTATTTTTTTTTTTTTTTTACAGATATTCAGTGTAACATTGTAAATAAATAAATATTAAAATACTTTAATCAGTGGACAATCTGAGGACCACCAGTTTAATAATCCCGTTCTCCATCATTGACTCATTTTCACTCCTGCAGCCTAAAATGATCTGATTTTATCTTTCAGTCACATATGTAACAGAATAACATTTATACAAATAATATTCAGTTTCTTTAGGAAATAACACGAAGGACAAACATGGACAGATATTGTTGTCTTATGGTTCTTTATTAATGAACGTCGTCCGTCAGTCAGGCGCCTTCTGACCACCCGAAATATTCTTGGTAGAAAAATAAAAACCTAAAAGGTCAAAACAGATCTGAACCTTCAGTGTCGGAGTTATTAAGAAAAACACATTTTTAATTTTAGATGTTCAGAATCCGTCACTGAATTCACAATATCTGTTTTTAGTCATCATGCAGTAACACTAAGACGCATTGAAGACGCAGTGAACTGAGTCTTTTTGATGAATTACTTGAGAAACATGAACTTCATTGAGGGTCTTTGTCTTTCAGGCAGGAAGGAAACTTTTTTTTAACGATCGCATTGAAAATAGAAATAATGGACTTTAAATGTTAAACTTATATTTAAATAGTGTAAAAGCTTTAAAATGTGTATTCATCCAGGCTTGATTTCAAATGTCAAGAATTAATCTCTAAATTCACATAAACCAGTTTGTTGTGCATTGAAGTTGGATGAACTTTAGTTAGTTTAGTGACAAACACAAGCTTTAGCCGACAAATAAAGTCAGAACTTTGTGTCTCACTTTGTGATCAATAACGAAAACAAAAAAAAATAATGGTCAAATGGTTCGGTAAAAATATATATTTTTTATTGGAAACAATTATTGAAAGTTTCTTCACATAAAACGCCTCAAATGCTGAATAAAGATATAAAGTGTTTGTATGTTTCATCACAGGACGATCGAAACAGATTTTACCCAAAAACACATTTAAGAGACTGAAAAAGCAACTTTAAATGTTTAGAATCCGTCAAACTCAATTAAACCACCAAAGACGGCGTTGAAGTCGCATTGAACTGAGTCTCTGATAAATTACAGAGAAACATGAACACTGAAGGTTTTACTGCCGTTAACGACTGCACTGAAACTATTAAATACCAAATGTGGTTGATTTAACTTACGTTAACATTTTAGTTTACTGAAATTAAAACGTTACAGACCTACAAACGGGGTTCCCACATTTAAGAAACAAAGCTTTTATTTTGAAAGTGTATTTATTTAAAAATGATCCTCTTGTAGGTTAAAAAAGGACTCGATTCTGGTTCTGCTTCTTCCGATCGGACTCTGAGGAACTTCTGAGGTCGATGAAATGATGACTCGGAGGTCGGGCGCCGTTCCACCAGCTACAGGTTTAATATCAGATCAACAACAGTAGAAAAACAGAGGCAGAGGCTACCAGACAAAAAGAAGAGTAGGAAATCCAACAGCATCCAACAGGCTCTTTAAAATAATTCCTCTGTACAGTATTTACACACACACACACACACACACACACACACACACACACACACATACACAGAGTACAGTACAGCTACACACTGAGGAGGAGGAGTCTGAGGACGCAGTCCCAACGCTGCCCTCTGATTGGTCCGTCCTCCTCCGTCCACAGTATTTTTTACTTCCAGGTGAAGGTGTGACGGCGTCCGGCGGGCTGAGTTCTCAGAGGTCAGAGGTCGCTGCAGGTAAAGTCTGGAGGAAATTTAAAAAAAACAACAAAACTGCGAGACAGGAAGTGGCTGCCTCCGTCCGTCCGCGACCGCAGCAGAACGCCGTCCAGAACTGTCCGCCTCCGAAACGCCCGGCGGCGTCTCCACCCACCAGGTCCCCTCTCTGTCCTCCCCCGCCCACCCCGAGCACCGCGGTGCCGCCTGGAACCAGCAGAACCAGCAGAACCAGCAGGACCAGCGTCAGGCCTTCAGTCCTCCTGTCGGTCCCTGCGAGGGGCGGAGCGGCCGGCTGGACGTCCAGGCAGAGAAATCAAACGTACACAAACACCATTGAACTGATGTTGAAACAGAAACGCTTCCTCATGTGATCCGGTCACATGACTCCGGGGCGGGTTGGAGGTCAGCCAATCAGATGTGCCTGCAGACAGACGAGAGGATGTTATTGATTACACTGTATCTGTATAGATTATTGATCAGTATACACTGTATCTTTATGGATGATATTGATCAGTATACACTGTATCTTTATGGATGATATTGATCAGTATACACTGTATCTTTATGGATGATATTGATCAGTATACACTGTATTTATTGGTTCTAGAAAGGAAAGAATGCGTCCTTGGTTCAGAGTATTTGTAAAAATAAACTGATGTATTTTAAAATGTAATCCTGTTTATAATCCACATTATTACTGAACTAATCTGATCACATCTTTTGTTCTGTAACTGTAATGATGAGACCTGTAGTTATAATATAACAGTAATACATATAACAGTAATATATATATATATATATATATATATATATATATATATATATATATAGATAGTTATCTTTAAGAGCTGCAGCTACAGAATGAGAACAATGACCTTTGACCTCGAAGCTTTGCATTGTTTTTATTTCTTTTTGTAAATCACTCTGTGAGAAAGTAAGGAGAGTTGATTTATTAATGGATATTGGTTTAATGTTTAATGAACTGACAGTGCTGATGTTTGACCAGCAGGTGGAGCTGCAGACTGAACTCTAACACATACAGTGTTTATTCACTTATTATAGAAATGGAGGAGATTATAATCTAGTCTATAATCCCACAGCTGGCAGCGGCACTGTGGTGATACAAAAGATATAAAGGTAAGAAAATAAACAATAAGAAGTGAAATAAATATGTTGTAAAACTGTTTAAATATCAGTTTATTGAACACTGGGCTCTTTCATATCATACTAACTCCCATAATTAGGACTTTTTAATCTTACAGTCATATATAATAATACACTGAGTCCAGGAGGTTTTACTTACAGCCTCAGTGGAGCTCCTCACTGACATTAATGTGACTCATTCACTGCGTCTTACCGTTCTCACCTCCGTGCGGGGGGGTACATGGACGGGGCGGACGCTTGCTGGCTGGCGACGATGGCTGAGGAGGAGAGACCTGAGACAGAGAGGGAGAGAGAGAGACAGGGACAGAGTCATCAGATCCAACATGGGCCACACTGAATAAAGCAGTTCCACCTTAAAAACTACAGTTCCTCCCACAGTGGGTGACTTATCTCATTATTCTCCCTTAAAATGAACATTTGATGATCAAGTTTCATTTTATTTGTTTAATGATGATGAATAACGTTAGCAGATTCATCCGGTTCAGATCTAGAGTTAAAAACCACCCAGATCTAAACAGTTGGTACCAATGTGGGTTCAGACTGAAGACCCAGAGTCTGACCTGAGGGGTAGGACAGGTCGTACTGTCCCGCCAGCAGCGGGTATCCCAGGTGGTGATGGGAGGGCAGAATGCGTTGGGACGGCGAGGATCGCGGCCGGTCGCCCTCTCTCTCCCGGTCTCTCTCCCGCTCTCTGTCTCGGTCCCGGTCTCTCTCGCTCGTGCGGGGGGCCTTGTCCTGGACGGACGGGGACTTGCTCTTGTACTGGCTGGCGTGCTGCTGCAGCAGGTCCAGAGCTTTGGCCTCGCTGGGCGGCTTCACCGTGGGACTGGACCTGGATGGCTTCTCCTGCTCCTCCCCCGCCGCCACCTTCCCGCCGTACGAGGGGAAGGAGTAACCGGCCGGCAGGTACGAGCCTGAGGACAGAGACACGTCTGAACCACAGCTGCATTAAAACGTCCAACAGCAAAAATAAAGGGGGGGGGGCGCGCCAAGGAGACCACAGTCTGTGGTACGGTCTGGTCCGTACCTGTGCTCACGTACAACATGTAGCAACCTACATTACTCACCCATTTACCTCTTTACTCACCCATTTACCTCATCACTAACCCATTTACCTCTTTACTCACCCATTTACCTCATTACTCACCCATTTACCTCATTACTCACCCATTTACCTCTTTACTCACCCATTTACAGCAGCAGGTTTGCCCCTGCTTCCAGTCTTTATGCTAAGCTAAGCTAACCACATCCTGACTCTCTTCCCAAACTGTTGATCAGTTAAAGGTCGTTCACTCGTGGTGCCCCCTCCAGGTCTTACCGGGGTAGTTCTGCATCATGACGGAGGGCATCCCTCTGTACCCGGGGTGGCTGGGCTCGTAGCCGTGGCTGTAGGCGAAAGGTCCGTGCATGTAGGGCATGTAGCCCTGGTGCTGGGCCAGAGGGGAGGAGAACTGCATGTGGGGGGGTCGGGCCTCCTTCCCTCCCCCCCGGTGCTCCTCTGGAGGCAGCTGAGTCCTGCCCTCCGCCCCTTCCTTCGCCTCCTCTTTCTGGAGGCCCTCCTTCGCCCGCTGCCTCTCCTCCTTCCCTTTGCGCTCGCGCTCCCTGTCGTCCTTCCACCGCTCCTCCTCCTGCGGTTTGGGAGCTTCTGAGTATTTGTTGGGGTAGACGTAGGGCCACAGGCGAGCGTCCGGCTCCTGCAGAGAGGAAGAGATGTGAGTGAAGACAGCTGATGGTTAAAATGTCCACCTGGGTCAATGAAGAGCTGTTTTAACGTCTGATGGATACTGAAACCTCGCTGTGACTAAATCTACTCTAGAAAACAGAAATCAGTCTTCAGTTAAAGATCGGAGGAAGATCCGGGTTAACACTCTGAATCATTAATAACCCTGATTGTCTACCAGGTGTCTCAGATTCAGGTTTTTGGGTCTCAATTTCTTCCCTCTGGACCTTTTTGAGGAGAAATTCAGAAATATGATGCATCCTGAAATCATCTCTCTCATTTCTTCCAGATAATAAATTATATTAACATATAACGTATTCTATAAACAGTTCACAATAAAGCCAGTAAAAAAGGACAAACTCTAAACATTTTAATGGAAGACGCAGCTGGACGCCGTTCTCTGTAGAATGACATGCAGTTACCTGTCTGTACCACATGGCGGGCTCTACACCTGCCGGCCTGCCCGACTCCACCCCCGGCTTGGCCTCCTCTTTCCCATGATGCCCTGCTTCGCTCAGCTTCATCTTCAGACCCTCCGGCTGGGCGATGGGAGCCTTGGGGTCCTCTCCCTTCGCCATGATGACTGACTTGGCCTGTTCCGAGGCTGGCGGCGGTTCTTTGGGCTTTGTCGGGTTCAGGCCTCCTTTAGCACCGAGGTCAGTGAGGCTGGGGGCCCTGGACAGGGTGGGGGGCACCGAGGCTTTCTGCTTCCACTCCTCTTTCCCGCAGGCCTCCCGCTCTTTGCCCTCGGCCTTCTTGTCGACCTGCCGCTGCCGCTCCTCGTACTGCTGGCGGTAGGCGGGGTTAGAGGCCAGCAGGTGGGCGTGGTAGGCCTGGTCGGGGGAGTAGGTGTAGGGGGGGACGTACTGGTACTGGTTGTAGTACAGGGGCTGGGTGTACATGTTGGAGCGCTGCTGGATGACCGACGGCTGCTGAGGGCCGGGATCCACCTTCCTCTCCTCCTGAGGCTCCACCTTCAGTTTGATCTCCTCCCCGACCTCCGGCTGCTCCTCCTCCTTCTTCACCTTCACCTGTGCTCCCTCCACGTGAGGCGGCGCCGTGGGGGCTGCTCCCGGGCTGGGGTTAGGGTAGCTGGGAGAGTAGTAGGAATCATAGTTGGGATAGTACGAGTCCTTACTGGGAGCCTGAGGAGGGAACAGGGCCTTCTTGGCTCCTTCCCGAGGTCCCTGATCAGGCTCAGTTTTGACCTTCACCCCCTCCGCCTTCCCCTCGCCGTCCTCCCCAGCGTCAGAGATATCCGAGTAGGCGGGGCTGCTGGTTTTGACGGACGCATTGTCAGCTCCGTTTTGGTTGAGGTGGAGGGGGGGCCCGAGGCCGGCCTCCATCCTGCTCGCCACGCCGATGGACGGGCTGGGCGCGTTGTCCGAGAAGCTGTACACCTTGTCGGCCTCGGCCTTGATGCTCGCCAGCCGGCTCTGGTGAGCTTCTGAGGAGCCATTGAGCATCGCGTCAGACTCCGAGTACGGACTCTTCCCCTCCTCCGGCCTCCCTCCCTTACCCATCGCCTTCGGACTGTCCCCCTCCTTCCCTCCTTCCCTCTTCTTCTTGTCCTTCTTCTTCTTGTCCTTGCCGAGGGTGGGGCTGGAGGCGGGGTCCGCCAGCGGAGGAGGTTTTGGTTGGATGCTCTTCAGCTGGGGGCTCTTGGGGATGGACTGTACCACTGAGCCCAGAGCCGGGGAGGACGCCTGCAGGGCGTAGGGTGAGGGGGCGTTGGGGGCGTTGGGGGGCGCAGGTCGGGCCGGCTTCAAACCTTTCTGGGTCAGTTTATCTGGCTTTCCACCGGCGGCCATCTTCTTGGCCTTTCTATCGTCCATCCCGTCGTTGCTGGCCTCGTCCGTCAAACACGCCGCTTCCTCGCCGCCGTCCGTCACCTCGGGCTCAGCCTCACCCGCCTTCTTCTTCCCCTTTGATGTCAGCTTCCCCGGCGAGGGGGACGGGGCATCAAAGCCTCGTCCTTTTGGCGTAGTGGAGCGGGCGGGGGAGACGCCGGCGCCATTGCAGGAGGCGGGGTCAGGGTGGAGGGCGGGGTCGTCTCCATATTCACTGTCACCATCCTGATCCAACCGGATGTCGTGGTCGTTGTGGGCTCGAGCCTGGTGGTACTTCAGCCCGTTGATGTGCTTGTACTTCTTGTTGCAGTTGGGATGAGGGCAGTCGATGAGCACGGGGGAGGGGCAGGTCCGGTCCAGCTGTGGGGGGGGCAGCGGGTCAGATTTGCCTCCAGGGAGGGGGAGGGGGAGCGCAGCACCGGTGGAGTTCGTTCTCATTCGCTTTGAAGCCTTGGTGTCCTCCGAGCTGGAGGTGGGCTCCATATCGGAGGCGGGTTTGGTCTTCCTCTTGGCCGAGGACGGGCTGGCCTTGACGTCCTCGGCGCCGCCGGCCGTCTGGCTGCCTCGTCGCCCTTTGCTGTTAGCGGCGGCACCGCGCGTCTTGCTGCTGCCGCTGCCTTTGTTGTCAGAGGAGTTGCTGTTGTCGTTCAGCGGCGTGTTGCTGCTGGGACGCATCCTCTTCCCCCGACCGCGACCGCTCCGCATCTCCACGTCGCTGGTGGGAGACTCACAGAACCTGAAGAGACACAGAGTCAGTGAGCAGCAGACATCAGAGACATCGTCCAACTCAGGGTTTCCTCTCTTCCTAACAAATCAGTTTTCTTATCGATACAGGACACAAACGGTCAGATAACTTTCAGGTTTCGTGTTCACACATTTAACTCCAGTTTTAAGCCTCATTGTTTGAGATGCAGGTTCGTGATGAGTGGTCAGCGTTTATTTATCGGTCGCGTTGTTCTCACTACACACAGCATCAGTTCTCCAACTGTTACATTAATTAGCCCATTAATAAAATGTATTCTACAGAAACTGTAACTTCTTACCTATTAGCCAATAAAATAAGAAGAGAGTGAAAGTGTTTGTTAACGTCTCTGTGTATTTACAGTTTCCCAGAACTCTAATTCATACCAGTTGTTGTTAACTATCCCCAATTCTTTTTTATTTTGAATTCTTATGCAAAATGATTGATCGACTTTATGTTGTATGAAAGCTCTGTTTATAAAGTTTTTTTTATGAACACGTTTGAAGAGAACTGTTTTTCGTCTTTACTCAATACATCTCATCCTTTCAACATTCCCACCCAGGTTCCTACCTTTAGTACATTTGGTATCAATGATGAAGTATCTTTATTTTCAGGTATTTGAGTCACTGTATCTAAACATCACTAAAACTCCTCTTACTCATCGACCTGTCTGTGTACCTTGGAGGGGCCCAGTCATGTCTTGTGCAGTCCAGCAGGGTCCCGACGTAGGTCTTGTTCCTCCAGGTGACGTTAACAACCAGCATGCCTACAGACACACACACACAGACAGACAGACAGTTACTGAACTCACTCAATTAGTATGTGAAAGCAGTGAAACCCACAGAGTGTGTGCCTGCAGCAGGAAACAGACGTGCTCAGAGGAGACGTGGGGAGCAGATGTTGCACCCGGCAGGTTTCTGAGGTCGAGTCACATCAGTGATTCACTAACTGAGCCACTGATGGCAGAAAGTGTGTTTCAGCAGAACTAACGGCTGCAGATCAAAGCGTCCGGACAGCAGGAACGGCTCAGTGTGCAGCCGATGTGTGAACAGGTTCCCCAGAGTGTGTGTGTGTGGGGGTATGTAGGTGCTACAGGGGCAGAGTGAGGCAGGCAGCCAGGATCTGCCACAACATCAGACGTGAGGCGCTGCGCTGGATTCTGGGTTTTTCTTCCAGTTTGAACTCACATTGTGAGACTGGAGCTGCAGCATCAGGTCTCTAAAGTTCGGTTCAACCCCTCAGTGACACAAGTCCTACATTCATTGTGATGATATTTGATTAAAAAAAACTATTAATCATTAAAAATCTATTAACAATTTATTTATACTTTAAATACGACTAAATGTTGTTTCTAGAGCAGCAACAGTAGTCGCTCTATAGACTCGCTGCAGACCAAACATCAGTAAAATAAAACATATTCCTGATATCAGATATTAGTCAGTATCCACCTGCACACACACACACACTCTCTGCTGTCTGTGTGCAGAGGTCAGTGGTAACACCAGGCACTACAACCTGTATATAACATGATTAATGAGCATTAGGCTGTTTTAGGCATGTGGTCTTTGTGCCTATAGAGCGGTTTATTTTAATCACAACCTCTCCTGTGGACGTTAAAGGACGTAAAATACAGACTTTTCTCCCACTACGTCTATGAGTCTCATCCATATGGACCTTTGTGGTGCGTTCACCGGTCGTCTGATCATTGTAACGTTTTATAAAAGTGGACACACTCCTGTTTCCAGTTCTGTTCACAATAATAAAAACTAAAGTTAAAGATGGAAACGACCCCGTTTTCACTGCCACTCACCGTCCTCCGTCTCCTGCCACACGATGCCCTCCAGGTTGACGCTGGTTCCCGGCTCACAGGGTCCCAGGCACTCCGGCTCAGTTGCTAGCGCGGCGTCCGCCGTGTTCACCGCCACCGAGCGCGTGCGGACCATAATCTGCTCACAGGGAGACGAGATGTCGCTGCTGGCGACGGGAGCGAGGAGGTGGAGGGGAGGAGGAGCCGGGGTGGAGACCGGAGACTCCATCTGGAGGAGGACAGAGGAGAGACATGATGAGACAGATTACATCTCTTCATCAATTAATCAGCAATCAATAACCAATAACGAGCTCTCTCTAACAGAACAGCAACAATCTGATAGCTCGATGTAGAGCCACTGCGTTTATTAATGGGGTGAAGAGCATTCTGGGAAATGTAGGACAACTTAAGATGAAGAACAAACATCAGAAAACCCACTTAGCAACAGAGGAAGAGGACAAAGAGGAGGAGGAGGAGGAGGAGGAGGAGGAGGAGGAGGAGCAGCCTGTTATCATCAGGTGGGAAGCAGCTGGTGTGGGGGCAGGACTGGGAGCACTGGGAAGGTTTCAGCTGTCACCATAGAAACGCTCTGAAACCAGGAAGAGATCAGAGAGCAGCTGGACAGACCTGTCGCCCTTCATCCCACCTCCTCTTCCTCTGACCCCTCCCACCAGAGGTCAAAGGTCAGCACGGACTCACTGAGGACACTTACAGGATAAATTCAGTCACTCGACAATTTCTTTAAAATCGGTCGAACTCATCGCGGTGAACATCTGAACATCTGAACGGGAACAAACTGTGTGGAGGCCGTGAAACGATCCCGGGAGGAAGTCAGCAGACATCCTGTCAGTTTTCAAAATAAAATACCGCGTGCAGACTCCGGACTGAATCAGACCTCGAGCACCAATCAGAACCTGTTTAGCCCAATCAGGACAGAAACAGCTGTCATCTGAAATAATAAGACAAAATACCCTTTTCACAGCAGCCATTTTGATATGAAGTAGTAGGATAAACATTCAGCTCACTGGAAAGGCTTTAATTACCATCACTGATAACTCCTGTGTTTACCCTACTACTTCAGGCCAAATGGCTGCTGTGAAAAAGTCCTGTTGTCAAACAACACTAGAGCTAAACTGCGGATCAATCAGCCAATCAGCATTCAGTGATATTGATCAGTATACACTGTATCTTTATGGATTATTGATCAGTATACACTGTATCTTTATGGATTATTGATCAGTATACACTGTATCTTGATGGATGATATTGATCAGTATACACTGTATCTGTATGGATGATATTGATCAGTATACACTGTATCTTTATGGATGATATTGATCAGTATACACTGTATCTTTATGGATTATTGATCAGTATACACTGTATCTTTATGGATGATATTGATCAGTATACACTGTATCTTTATGGATTATTGATCAGTATACACTGTATCTTTATGGATTATTGATCAGTATACACTGTATCTTTATGGATTATTGATCAGTATACACTGTATCTAGGGATGGGGCTGATCTGATCCAGTATCGGTATCGGGACCGATACCAGCGTAATTCACGTATCGGAATTTCCCGATCCAACCTGCACAGCTTTCCGATATCCATGAGCCATGTCTGCGCTTTAACGTTGTCTGCTGCTAGCTGGCTGCAAACTGTGGAATGGATTTCCTGAACGGAGGCGCGGCTCAATGACACACAGAGTTATGAGACAATCCTCCGCTCAGGAAATCCATTCCACAGTTTGCAGCCAGCTAGCAGGATAGCATTGAGCAGCATTGTGGCTAGCCAACATGTCCGCTGTGTGGAAATACTTTACACTGGAAACAGAGCAAGACAGCAAAATGCAATGTTTGCAAAGCCGTAATTCAGAGACGCGGAAGCTCCCTCTCGTCGTACAACACTACGAACGCAATCAAACATTTAAAAAAAAAGCACCACACGAAACAGCACGAGGATTTTTTAGGCGAGCTGTCAGGAATCACTTCTGGAGTCATTCCAAAAACAAGGTAAACTCCAGGCAGACAACGGGAAAGCTAAAGGGGTGTGTGTGTGTGTGTGTGTAAGATGGTTACACACTTTTCTTATATTTCAAGACTCAAATATTTGACATTTTGGGAATTTAATAAATATTGACATGACAATAAATTTGAAACCCTTACAGTAGCATATTTGTTTTCAGAATGGGATTTTTCCTGTTAACAGGATTTCCTGTTTTTCTGACTTCGTTTTCTGACCTTATGCTTACCTCAAGTTGCCTTTTGGGACATACATGCATACATAGGTACAGATCATACTGCCTGTTGAGGAGTTTATTCATATTATCTCATATAAAATCAACAATAATGATAATAACAATATTAAAGAAAACACAGCTCTGGTATCGGAATAGTATCGGCCGATATCCAAATTCAGTTATCTGGATCGGATCGGAAGTGAAAAAATGTGGATCGGTGCATCCCTATCTGTATCTTTATGGATGATATTGATCAGTATACACTGTATCTTTATGGATAATATTGATCAGTATACACTGTATCTTTATGGATGATATTGATCAGTATACACTGTATCTTTATGGATGATATTGATCCTGTATTGACAGTCAGACTGTGGACATATGACGGCCTTTAGCTCGTGTTTCTAGAGTTACGTGTTGTTACGAACACGTTAGGAATTGTTAAAATGTGATATTTCTTAAAGGGAGTTTGGTGCAGGGAGCTTTTAGTTGGATTCAAACTGCAGTAGAAGTAGTTGCCCTTTGTGTTTTTAAACCACTTCCCTCATTAAACATGATGTGCTTGTTATTAATGACTTCAAGGCTCTAGATTAAAAAGAGGAAGTAGTGTGATTACTTGATAAATCAAATTGCTGTCAGTGAAATTAATAAATGACGAGAGTATTTCCTCTTCAGGTGAAATTGTCTTTTTACCTTGTTTTTATAGCGTCTTCGTCCCTGCTGGGCGTGTTACTGGTTTAACAGACTGGTTAAGAGGGTGTTGCCGTGGTAACAAGAGAAACCAGCCCTCCAGCGCTCCTATCCTTCTCCTCCTCTTTAAGAAATAAAACAAACATGGCCGCCTGGATTGCTGGGAAACCCCCTTTAGAGCAGAAACCCCACCAACAGACTCTCCCTCGCAGAGGGGCGGGGTCTGTTTTCCACCTCCGCTATTGGCTGCAGAGGTTTAACCTCCGATACGAAGCCTCCTGGGCTGGGAAACACCGGCCCCCGCTCCTCCTCCTCCTCCTCCTCTCCATTCAGTCGGAGAGGTATTCATTACAACAACAAGCCACATTCCTTTCAAGGTCACTCACTCGCTGGGAGAGAGAGATTAGTGATCCTGATCAGCACTTCAGAGACTGTGTGTGTGTCTGTTTAATGCGTCACTTAATAGAGCGGTGGAGAGGGTGAGGTTGTACGAGGCTGCCAGACAGAGGAGATAACAGTCCCTTTCATTCAGTACGTTAACTGCCCGCGGAGAGAAACACCCAATCAGCTCGTACAGAAACTATCAGTGATTCATTGCTAAAAGATGCTAACTGTGGCTAATGGTAATGTTAGACGCTGTCAGCTGGTTAGCTCTTGTAGCTAACGTTAGCTGACTCAGGGCCCGGGGTTGCAGGAGCACCGAGTTCGACAGAGTCAGCTAACTTTGATCTGGTTATTCAGAGTCAGAACATTGTCTGTGGGCATTTAAAGTGGGAAGGAGAGAGACCTTGGAGATAAATAGACCACACGTGGCAGGGAAGGCCTCCTCAACATGGCCTTCAGAGGGAAGACGGGATGATAAGGAACCTGGAAGCCCCTCAACATGCCCCAAAAATCCCTCAAGGACCCCTCCCTAAAACACCCCCTCAAACAGCCAGGGAACTTCCTCAAGGACCTTCCTCCACAATCCCCCCAAAGACCCTTGAAACCTCCTCCTCCTCCTCCTCCTCCTCCTCACACCAACTCACAGGAATGTTAGAAATGAACAACAGGTTAGCCGTTATTTCTCTACGGGACGCCGACGCACCGAAATAACATCTGGGTTGGAGGGTGGGCGAGAGACCTAGAGAGAGAACAGGCTGATTTCTCTCTCTCTCTTTTTGCACGGGGGCCCAGGACTCCGAGAGCGACGCATTTCCAGGAACGCCGGGCTGCAGAGCCGAGGTGTCAGGGGGCCCGTTAGCTTCTCGAGATGCTTTAATTTACTTTTTCAGTGAATGCACTTTCCCCCATCTCGCCTTCCTCTACCGCCGTTTCCCAGAAAGCACCAGGAGAGCCCCAGAGAGCAGAGCTGTAGGTTTTATGTGCAGGTGGAGGGTCAGTCTGAGCTGGAGACACTTCTTCATACCTTCAGACTGCAGTTTACTGTATCTGGCCGGTTTTAGACGGTTGCCGTGGAAAGACATAATTCAGGATATTGTCAGCGTTACAAAAATATATACTGAGCTGTAAAAACAACAAGGCTGAACTAAATCAAACGTCAGGGGAACAAGTTGATCCGATGTGGAAGCTTTAGAGCTGATGAACAGCAGAGCGACGGGTCGGGTCGGGATCGAGCTAAAGGAGAGACACGAAGCAGCTCTCAGCAAAATGTCCAAATCAGGTTGAATTTCCAGGACGACAGATTATTTCCAGCATATCTGGTCATTTTAATCACTTTCCAGGTGTTTCCATGACTGGAAAACTAGTCTGTACACTTCCGCCGTGTCACTCGAATCACATCTGTTTGCCGTGTTAGCGAGCTAGCTAGCCAGCTAACAGTAACGTAGCAGAAGTGTGAAGCTTCGTTCTGATTCGCTCCCTTCTTCCCGGTTACGTTCCTGTGTTACACTGACAGTACAAACCTGGGTGGGTCAGAAATATGCGTACCTGCCAGAAGTCTAAAGTTTGAGTGTTAGGTTATACTTTGGTATCGGTTTCACAAATAAGGAAATACTTAATCTTTTGGCTCATCAGCATCAAATTATTATCAGTATCAGGATTTTGAAACGATTGTGCAAACGACTGAGTCTATTTTGAAGGAAGAACCACAGGCACTTGGAAGAAATTGCTTCTTTTGTACTTTATTCTCGTAATATTACGACTTTATTCTCGTAATTTCCAAAATTGTATTTATTTGTCAAAAAGAAAAACCTTGTCATGACAGCGAGATGCTGCCGGCTCTTGTTGCGGCACTACGGCTACAGTTAACTTGATGTTCCTTTTAAATACGACCCTGTTTCATCCACATCCTCTAACACCATTTGCGAGTGTCCAATCGCTACTGAGCACGTGCAACTTCACTGCACTTCCTGTATCCGTTTCAAATTAAAAGTCCTCTGGCATTTTCAGACAAAACGATTTATTTCTTAATAAGGCTTTTATTGTGAAACATTTGCAGGAACGCTGCCACTCTTGTTATGTTCCAACGGGAGCGTACGACACCTGGTGGTAAAACTCGGTACTACAGCTCAAATATTTGTTTTTATTTTCTGACTGATTCTGAGCAACTTGAACTGTTTTAGATAAATAAAGATTTTAACTTTCTACTGAGCAGCTGGAAACATCCAGATGTGACGTCTGTGTCCCAAATTTAGCTGTTCACAGGAAGAACCACCCCTCCATCTGTCTCTCTCTGTAATCTTCCTGTCTGTCTTCTCTGTAAACTGTCCAATAGTGAGACAATACTTCACTCCTTTTCCAGTCTTCACTTTGTGTTTAGTCTGAGTTTTAGTCCGCGTGGTGTCATCTGTTCCCGTCTGTGGTGGAGAAACAGACTCGCAGTGTCTCCTGATTTGGCTGCAGTGGTTCCAACAGAAAGAGTCTCTTGGAAACGTCGAGCAGTAACACTGAACTCTGAGACGTTTCTATTGTGACATTCAAACAGCTGACAGCAGCTTGGCTGAGTCAAATTAAGATGCTTTAAAACTGTCTCAGTAATGTTTCACAGAGCATAACCATAACTGATCAACCGGATACATTTATGTCCTATATAACCTGAAAATAACAACCTGTTTCACCATGAATCAACCGCCATCTCCTCTTTAGATTATACCTTAAATCAGCAGCCTGTTTCACCTTAAATCTGCAGCCTGTTTCACCTTAAATCTGCAGCCTGTTTCACCTTAAATCTGCAGCCTGTTTCACCTTAAATCTGCAGCCTGTTTCACCTTAAATCTGCAGCCTGTTTCACCTTAAATCTGCAGCCTGTTTCACCTTAAATCTGCAGCCTGTTTCACCTTAAATCTGCAGCCTGTTTCACCTTAAATCTGCAGCCTGTTTCACCTTAAATCTGCAGGCTGTTTCACCTTAAATCTGCAGCCTGTTTCAGCTTAAATCTGCAGGCTGTTTCACCTTAAATCTGCAGCCTGTTTCACCTTAAATCTGCAGCCTGTTTCAACTTAAATCAACAGCCTGTTTCACCTTAAATCAACAGCCTGTTCCACCTTAAATCAGCAGCCTGTTGAAGGTGGAGAAGCTGACTCAACAGGAGCTGAACTGAAGAGCAGGTCAGACAAAAAGTTTCAAGGATGAGCTGGAAAGATCAACAACAGAAGCATTATCTAAAAACAGAAACTGGGTTAGATTAGATTACTTTGTAAATAGCGACAGTATTTTTAGCAACCACACAAAAACATATTTGTAGAGCAGTCCTGTGCAGTCTGCTGGTGCTGAGCCAGTCGGGTTCTCCACCAGAATCTCATCTTTATTTCATACATTAAAAAAAAAAAAAAAACACCACCAGATTGAGGTTAACCTGACCTCTGACCCCGGTGTTAACCCTGATTAGGACTACAAACTCTACATACAAGCTACTTTTCACATATTTTTTTTTTACATCTTATTGTTGTGTTTCTAAGTTGTGCAACTAACCAGCAGCTTAAAGCATGAAACTCCTCAACACAGGGTTACCATACGGCATGCTGGGAAATATAGGAAACCACTAAATAACTTCTTTTTCCACAAATGATCGCTTAGAAATTAAATCCTGCAATGTGTTAATATCACAGGATTTTTAATCCAGCCCAAACAGATTTATTATAACAAGATACGACAGTTTTGAAGGTTTTAGGGTCAGAGGTGAGGAAACTGTGACCCCCGCAGCCAGCTGGGTCAGTGTCTGCTCACACTGTAAAGTCTGTGTGACGGCCGGAGGTGGTCGGCCAGCTGGACGGAGCAAACTGAGCACAAGTGCTGGAACTTGGCAGCAGCCGACGGCGGCGCTGGATAACAGACAGCTCTGAGCAGGCTGATCGCTGCAGGCCAGCAGGACTGTTTGGCAGTGCTGGAAACCTCGACACTAAGCTAAATTTGGTAAGAAGATGAGGGAAGCTGCGGCTGCGGAGGAGATACGAGCCGAGCAGCTGAAGGAAGAAAGAATCTGAACCTGTGCTTCCATCTGGAAACTCACAGATCTGCAATAACAGACAGCGTGACTGTTATTTTTAGAGATATGATTCACAATTAGTTTGGGAATTATCATTTTTGCATCAAAAATCCATTAAAATCTGAATTTTTGTGGGTCTGTACCAAATAGACTAACAGACTTAGTGTGGATGTAGCCTAAAAGTTACTCTGCTGCTTCCGTTTCCATCGAATTGCTTCAATCTGCCTTTGTCTTTAGTGCTCAGACTTTATCGAAGTGCAATAACACACTGATGGTGTAACTTATTAATACTTAATGAATCCACAGACTGACTGCAGAGGACTCATCAGTTGGATCTGGTGAGATCATCTCCAGCCTGATGATTCAAAATCCAGTAACTCAATTTAAATGAGACCTTTATATAACCAGAACTGTCTCTAGACATCCATATCTCTCTTTTTATGCTCCACAAACCAACAAGGGGGGGTAGAGTGTAAAACCTCCACCGACCATTAAAACCGTTAAAATCAGATAAAACTCACCACTTTCTTTAGGTTTCGGCATTCACCGTTGTCCACTTCCTCTTGCTCTGTTGTCATGGCGACTGGCTGGCCGATCCCCGCTGGGTCCAGCGCCATATTCCCGAGCTGCTCGGCGGCGGCTAGCTCAGGGTTCTGCTGGCCCTCGAAGGGGCCGCTGCGAGGGGCCCCCAGTGGCAGGATGGGGGACTCTTTCTCAGAGTTAACCGCTCCCGTGACCTCCATTTTCTCCTTCTTACTTTTCCCAGACACCCCGTCTTTGTCCTTTTTCACAGCAGGGAGGGTGCGGGAGGGTTTACTGGACTTGTCAGTTCCCTTACCAGGGGTAGAGTTGGGGTTCTGGGGCGGAGGGTCCCCAGGGGCCCGACCCTGAACCTCCTTCTTGGCGCCGTCAGAGACCGGGGCCTTCGCGCTCTCCTTAGAGTTTTTACTACGTTTGGATTTGGATTTGCTCTCTTTGCCCTGCGCGGCAGCTACAGGACTGACGAACTTGATATTGTCAGGTAAAGCAGCCACAGCGCTGGGGGGGGCGGCCATGCCCCCTCCCTCCTTGCTGCTCGACATCTCTAGTTTGTCCTTCTCCAGGTCGGCGTCCAGGTCAATGATCAGATTGCCAACACCGATATCCCACTCATCGCCGCTGTCATACGTGTCCACCGCGTTGGAGTCCACACCTTTCCCGCCTGCAGGACCGCTGCTGAGGGACATCTTAGTAGGAGCGTCCCGGAGCGCCGCAGGAGGGCCACAGGAGGGCCGCGCTCCTCCCAGCCGCAGGACGCCTCCTCAGGGCTGGACCCTGCGCCTCCTCCCTGCTCCCCACATCTCCTCCTGCACACAGACAGACAGCAGGTTAGATAATGGACACACACACAGACACAGACACACACAGACACAGACACAGACACACACAGACACAGACACACACAGACACAGGTAACTGATATCAGCTGTTTGAGCACAACCCGGGCTCTCTGAATACGTCTGCTGCACAGACGTCACATGATTCTAAAAAATAGTTATAAGAAAAAGTAAAAGTAAAAAGTCACATGAAAAAAATTATAAAAACAGAATTTGTTATTCATTATATTATTATTATTTTCTACAACAATGTGCAAAAATGTTCACATTTGTAGCCTCAGCTGATAAAAATAAAACAAAGACTGACCCAAACAGAATTGTTATATAAATAAGTGTTTCACAGGGTTATTAATGATGTTTAATAATCAATAAGTGGCTGTTTGGAGGCTGTCTCTGATCAGACAGCAGCTCTGTGACTCCCTTATGTGTGTTAAAGGTAAAGTGGGCGGAGGAGGCCGTATTGAGCGCTCTGCAGCGGGTGGCGAGGAAGAGCAGACGCAGCACTCCTTAAAGCCTCCTTTAGGCCACTTATCATATGAAAGGAGCGCCGTGACCCCTGACCTCCTCCGACAATACGGAGCTGTTGGCGGAGCACTGGGGGCTGATGGGAGGGGGTTGGGTTGTAAAGCTAACAGCCCCACTGACCCAACAGACACTAATTGACGTCCTGATTAACAGCAGGAAGGAAACCGACAATCTGACACCAGAGGAGGCAAAAAGGTGTCACCAGATAAAGTTTTTAGGTTTTTATTGAATATTTTTGGGACTTTTTGCTTTAATTAGATCGGCTGAAGATTGACAAAGAATAAAAATAAAAGCGAGACAGAGCTAATGAGAGTTTGAGATCTACACAGATTCTTTGCTGTACATTGGGCTGTTGCGATAGCCGTAATAAGACTATAACTATAACACTAATTAAACAAACTTATGATTATTATATTACAGTTCTGACAATAGATCCTCCTCAATGTTTCACACTGGACCTTTAAATGTACACACACACTAATAACTGATTAATAAGAGCTGCAGATAAACTGTTATTGTAGCAATGAACTCCTACTGGAGCTCATCCAACCTCGACTGAACCCTTTCAACCGGCCTCGGTGCTGAAGGGTTCTGGTCCGGTTACAGCTCTCATTCCCCCCCGGCTCGTCTGTTTCTGCAACCCTGACGCACACAAACTAGTCTCGCTTCCACCCACCACCAGAGCCGGTTTGTCTGTCAGCGTGATCATTTGTAAACATATTAGCAGATCGCCATGAAATTCTCTTGACAGCGAGGCTTTGATCCAAAGAACAGCTGATTAGATTACGGCCCGAATGGGATTTCCAATGTCGTAGAAATTTAGTTCTCGTTTTCTTTTTTTTCAGCCCAAACGGAGACAAAGATGTGATTCTGAGTCCTGCTGGGAGGTTTTACAAGAGCAAGAAATCCATTTCTGTGAATCTGATGATGTGAAGCAATGTTAGTGAATTATAGCTTCATAATAAGGTAAGAGGAAAGGCATTCACACCGAAACACAGAGAGGAGCTTCAGACTGCAACAGCCAGTCAGAAGTTCATTTTAACATTTATTACGACTTAAAACCAGCTAACAACAAGCTAACAACCGGCCAACAACCGGCCAACAACCGGCCAACAACCGGCCAACAACAGGCCAACAACAGGCCAACAACCGGCCAACAACAGGCCAACAACAAGCCAACAACAAGCCAACAACAAGCCAACAACAAGCCAACAACAGGCCAACAACCGGCCAACAACCGGCCAACAACCGGCCAACAACCGGCCAACAACAGGCCAACAACAGGCCAACAACAGGCCAACAACAAGCCAACAACAAGCCAACAACAAGCCAACAACAGGCCAACAACAAGCCAACAACAAGCCAACAACCGGCCAACAACCGGCCAACAACAGGCCAACAACAGGCCAACAACAGGCCAACAACAAGCCAACAACAGGCCAACAACAGGCCAACAACAGGCCAACAACAGGCCAACAACAGGCCAACAACAGGCCAACAACAGGCCAACAACAGGCCAACAACAGGCTAACAAGTGACAGAAAGTGAAAAGTTAATTTCTTCATATTAAAAACAATCACTTGGTGTAATTCTGTGCTCAGGAAGGCTTTACATTTTATGCTGACTCTACGTTTCAGACCACACCTAGCAGCCTGACCTTTGACCCCGTGCGGAGGGACTCTAACTGCTCAGCCCTGAGGAGCCAGATGGTCGGACAGGTGGGAGCACGGCGCTAATCCTGCTGCTAATAACACAAATACAAATGCTACGACAACACGGAGCAAACACTGAAACACACACGGGAGGATTAACGGCCAACAACCTGAACAGAGGCACCGAACGGAGGACGGAGTTCAGTCCTCAGACCGTCGGTAGTCACCAGAGAGTCTGACCAACAGACACAACCACAGACAATAAAAGGCATGAACACAATGTATGAGCTAACTGCGGGTGAACTGCAGGGCGCACACAATAGGGATTTCATTCAATACAATAACCAATAATCACCTGCTTCTCATTGCAGATAGCGATAAGTTAATTTCAAGTCAGAACAGCTGAGGTGTTGTGAGCAATAATAGAGGATTTCACTAGAACATAAAGCCGAGCGAATGTTTGGCACGATAATTCAAAAGTTAGCTATAATTTAATAATGGGAATAATAGAAATGTCTCCATTATCTGCTTCGATAACAACCTTAATCTCCACTGGACCGATGATGTGGACACGAGATGAAACCTGATATCTGATATGGACACTGATTGAGTAATTAGTTTGCATTGTACTCATTCAGGCTGTAAACCTAATTTTAAAGTGATTTACGAGACAAATGTTATTCTTTTTATTTACATCTTCTTATTTCCCTGTTAGTGATCTTTTCATTGGATCCTGATCTGTAAAGTCTGAGCTTTATTTTACAATAAATTCATCTTCTAACCTTTCAGACATTAACAAATGTTATCCAGGTGTTTGTATAACTGCAAACTCTAAGTTTCCAGGTTTTCCAGGATGTGTGGGAACTCTGACTTATTGAGGATGGTGGAACTGAAGCTTGTTTCCATAAAGACAGAGTGAGAGAGTTTTAAGTGTGCTCACTCTTCCTTTACCTGGTGCTTGAGAAACGTTCCCCGTATCTGCACCTGAGAACGTCTCTCAGGTTCTCTGCAGAGCGCTGCCACACCGTACAGCAGGGGCAGATCCGGGGGTGTACAAATATTTTCAGTTCATTATGAAACTGTGGTTGGATAAATAATTATTAATTACTCAACTGATTGTATAAAATGTTAAAGAATAGTGAAACATGTCAATCACAGTTCCCAAAGACGACATCTTCTAACGTCTGGTTTTGTCCGAACCAAGTAATTCCCTGCGATAAACACTCGAGACGCTAGAAGTACAGAAAGATTGACGATTAATCAAAAATCATTGTCAGTCGCTGGACTGATACAAATGATTCTCTGATCAGATTTCTTTACACCTGATGTCTGCATAATGGAGGTATGTAATTAGTGAAAGCTCATACGAGCGGCGCTGTATCTGTGGAGCAGTGAACATGAACGAGTCCCACTCTGAGTCTCGGGTTCGGACTGATCCCCGAGCTGACTTCCAGACTGCAGAGCGGTTCTCAGATCTGCTCAACTGCCTCTAATGCCGCACTTAATTAAAGGCGGCGGCGTGGCAGGACCTCCGCAGCCCGCCCCGCTGTCAGCCAGAGAGGAACCTCTTTATATGGAAATGAGCCGGAGAACGCTGCGGCCCCACCGAGCCCCACTGGGCCCCAACAGCAGGACAAATCATCCGGCCTGCCCCGATGGAAACTTGGCCTGGACGATTCCACAACTCAACACAGGCGAGCCAGCAAGCATCTTCTGACTCTGCCGGGCCATAAAGTACGCGTCCTGGGCCGGGTGAATCCTCGCCCGCATATTAACACGCTGTCAGCGCGTCTGCTGATTTACAGCGAGCTGCAGGAGGAGGAAGACAAGGCTGGGAGGCTGCCAGCTTCAGATGAGCCACTGCTGCTGCTCGGGCTCTGTGTGGACTGCTGGTGAACTGGTTCTGGGTGAAACTGGTTCTGGGTGAAACTGGTTCTGGGGGAAACTGGTGCAGTTACCTGAACTTCTCGTGCCGATAGCGTTAGCATTAGCTTTAGCATTGGTCACAACCTGTGTGATGTCATCAGGGGTTAACTTCTGGAAACCAGACCATAAATAAAACCTCTACAACCACAGACCTTATTCCACACATCCAACCAAAACCCATTGACTTCAGCAGAGGGAACCAGAGGGGCTACAATGCTAACAGTGCTACAATGCTAACGGTGCCTTCCCACCAACAGCAGATACAATTATATAAAGTCAATACAAAGAAGCAAATAAAAGCAAAAATGTGTCTGACATTTATTCCAGCTATCAGTTTTACTACGAACTGAGTTAGCAACCAAACTCCATTCAGAAAACAAGCATTTTAAAAGCTGAACTCAAATCTCCATCATGATGTTTATTTTAGGCTCATACTGCTGTTGTCGGACAGATTAAAGGGTGAAATCAAATGATCCCAATAACTCAGTTCAGGCTTTAAGGACTCATGTGCGAGTGTTAAAACTGGGAAATAAAGATTAAATAAATAATTTTAGTACAGAAACAGAAGGAAGAACAGAACAGCTGCTCATATCTCAAGTTGCCAACACAATTAACACCCAGTTTAAACTGCTGCTAAAAGTAATGGATAATTAAACAGTCAAAGTACAGCTCCTATCATCATCATCACATCATCATCATCATCACCTCCACCACCACCTGGAGCTACAGTGAAACCTCCACAGCGAGCCGTCACAGAGCTGCTCTCAGAAAGGAGCTTTATTCAAATCCTGACCAACACTCGCCGTTTGTTTACAGACGCTCTGCAGGATGAGCGAGTTTGCAAATTTATAGTTTCTGCTGTCAAACACGAGCACAAATCTTCATTATTCAGCAGGAAGTAAACTATCCTTCAGTGTGGTCACATCAACACGGGATGACCTTTAATCCCTGATAATGGACACCTCCAAGGTCCAAACCCTAACAAGCCATGTTTTCATGGTAACACCTGAGGTCCTTCCTAATACCTGGAACAATCATTACCATCTCATAATGTCCTAATGCAATGGAAACTTTGTTCACTGCTCCAGTAAGAGGGAGATTATCACCAGAGTTAGCTAACCTCTTACCGTCTGTAAAATGACCTAAAAACAACATTTACCCAAAGTAAATGAAAAGCTGTTCTTCAACCATTTGCAGTATATGTATGGTTTTGGTCTCAGTTAAAAGATAACACTCTCTAAAAAACAGCTGTTGATGGTCATTTATCTACGTGCTCGTGTAGTGAGTGGATATATTGGACCTTTGGTACTGAAACAGGACTGTTCTTGTTGGATTATTACTGATTCCTGGATTACAGCGAGGCTTCTTGGGTGAGTTGGCTCAATTTTATGATCGCTCGTTAGTTTGAGGCGCCGATTGTGCCCGTTGTTGTGACTGTATCCTAAAAGCGTTCTGATCAATAAATAGACGAGATTCTAAGATTTCCAATGATGTATGGTATGGGTGCTAAATCCAACATGGCGGAATGTATACATGTCGCATTCGGGCCGTTGACATAAGAAAAAGGTTAATCAATCCCAGATACTTACTGGGATTGAGACACAATGTTACCTCATAGCCTATTTCAAATCCACCACCAACACACACACACACACACACACACACACACACACACACACACACACACACACACACACACACACACACACACACACACACACACACACACACACACAAACCTGCTGCCTTCATTTAAAATATCCATGGAGCAGCTGAGGTCAAAGGTCAGATGGTTGAACTGTGACATTGAGCTTTATGAGCTCCTCCAATCAGACTGTAACTCCCTTTCACACTAACATGTGCAATGCGGGTAAAGCGGCTAAAAATAGGTGATTGATTGATTGATTGATTGACTGATTGACTGACTGCGGGCAGGGAGGTTGGTAATCAGAGAGGCAGCGCGTAGAGCCTGAATATTTCCATATCTAAAGATGAGTTAACGTTAAAGACAATTAGCTAACTAGGTAGTTTGGTTTAAGAGAGAAACTTTAATTCAGAAGCTGAACACACCTACAGCGAGATGACTGAGAGTTATTGATTATAGATTTACATTTAACACCATTGTTTGTGTATTTATTCTGTGATATAAATGTTCATTGTGACGAATAACTGATCCAGCGTCTCTGGCTAGTTGGTTATATTGGCTGGGTTTCAGTTTCTACGCCCCCCCCCCCACCACCACCGTCTACCCTGAATCTAACTTTCTGTTTCCAGCAGGCTGTAAATCCCATAATCCACTAACCACTTTCACTCCTCGAGCCTCCTGTTGGATGTTGACACTCAGATGATGAGAGCTGGCTGTGAGACAAACGGAGTTTTTATTCTGTTTGAAATGTCTGGTGGCTGCCAGAGACTTCAGGTTGAGTGTGCAGGAGGAGGACGGAGATAATAAACAGCTCTATAAATACTGAATACCACCTTCATGGTTTCATAGTCACTAATAAATGTGTCTGCGTGCTTTTATCTACAGGCTGAGAGGAGGAGAAGAAGAGGAGGATTTAACACTCGCTTCAAATGTCTGAACAGACAAATATATTTCAGGCACAGCGGGAAAACATCTGGACTGGATATACAGATGTGGAGGTTAAAGGAATGAGAGTAGATGATCGATTGATGCCTCTCAGAGATGAACTGACCTAACAGCCCCTGCTGCGGATGCCCCGCCGCGTGGCCGCAATGCCCCTTCCAAAATGAACTACTGGCTGTACAGTAAAACATTTCCTCATTAAACTACAGGAGAACAGCATCGTAGTGTCTAAGCTATCACACACTCAGGTTACCCACAAGCCCACCTGTCTTAAAGGGGAAGGACGGTAACACACAGGTACGGTGAGGTATTAAAGTACTAATACCAACCAAATACTGCGTTATAAACCTCACTGAAAGTATTATAGATCATAGAGATTATTTCCTATATACTATACACACACAGTTAGGTAGTTTTAGCTGTGATTCCCCCCCGCCCTCCAAATGACTTCATTATATGTACAACTACAAACACAGAAGTACAGAGGAAGAACAGAGTGTGAAGGTGTTGTTTCCTGCTGTTGAACTCTGTATATGATGTTTCTATCTGACAGACATCAGAGGTGGAGATTCACCCTGCGAGCCCCGTTCATGCAACCGCTCACTGAGAGCGTGCAGTCGGTCCCCAGTCTCTGCTGGAGGAAGTGAAAGTTTACACCTGAGCCTCCGAATCAATCTCACTCCCAACATAAAAGGGGACGTCCTCCATTTTGTGGATATGGTTTTTGGTTTTTTTTTCTCAAGAAAAGAAAGAAAAGCTCCACCTGCGAGCTTTGTCACACAGCCGTCAGTGGAAACACCCGCATCCTGTTTCAGCACATGAAGATCAACATGTGATAAGAGCGTAAGCTGTAAAGCTGAGCACACGAGAGGCTCCGAATGACGTACAATCACTCTAAATCTTAACAAAACTCATGTTTTTCCAGTGAATACTGAGAGTTTTGTATTTTTCTCCCTTTAGACACAGACAGCAGAGACACTTGATGTTCAGGTTTAAAAATAAACCAGATTTTAAATTTCAGGCGGAGCAGTTCCACATGCTTACCACGTCATTCACCTCCTCAAACCGCAGCAGCAACCGACGCCTCGGAGACCCGACAGGTAAAAAAACACCGTTTAACTCCGTATCGGCTCTTGTCCTCTCGGCCTGGATCTAACGGCTGTAGGGTCCAAAACGCCTCATTTAAATGTTATCGTGGCTGTCTGAGTGTCAGCAGCGTCACGCCCCGCAGACCTGTGAAAATACACCCGCAGGGTTTAAAAATAACGGGCGTCAGGTTCAGGGGCGCACCATCAATGGAAATATCAGAGAAACTGCAGCGAGAGATAAAAGTTAAAGGTGACAGAGTTATGATGAAGGACTGTACAGTCAGTTATTTCAGTTATAATTATTAGTTTATTTATTAGTAATTGATTAGTTGTTTGGTCCATTAATTGGTTAAAGAAAATGTTAATCAAGCCCAAGCAGACGTCCTCAAAGACATTCAGTTTACTGTCAAAGGACGAAAGAAAACAGAAAATATTCACATCTGAGAGGCTGAAATCAGAGAATTCCGACATTTTCTCCTAAAAAATATAACTCAAAACTATCAAAATGGTTGGCGACTAATTGACTAATAGTTTCAGCTTTACTACAAATCTTGTTCTCAGATGTAAGAAAGCCCTGAATAAACATCCCTGAATAATGCAAATAAGCAGTAAAAGATCTGACACACTAACAAACAACGGCAGCATCTGAGACTGCAGGTGTAACCAGCAGATATCTGGGCCGAGACTTCCTCTGCAGTCCGATCACATACAGACAGACAGGCAGCGTGTGACAGACAGGCAGCGATCAGGTCGACGGTGTCAACAGAGTGATAACATTTTACTACTCAGCAGCAACTTCACAGATTTCAGCCAGTTTCCTGTTAAACACAACAACAACAACGACGAGGTGGAGAGACAGACAGACAGAGAGAAACATTTCCCAAATATACCCCGAATTCGAAATATCAGACACACAGAAACTCCCCTATTTACTGGGAGAAATGCCAAAAAGTCAAATTATTGCAGCAAAATATGTCTCCTCATGCCACGAACTGAGGACAACCAGTGGAAACTCTGTAAATGTATAAAATAATTGATTGTTTTAGTTGTTTTTTTTTGTTGTTTATATATATATATATATATATACACACACACACACACAGTTTTATCTACTTTATTTTAATTTTAATATATTTTAATATTACATATATTATATATTTTATTTAATAATTAGTTATTGCTGTTATATTGACAACAGACCACTTGTTTTAACTGTAGTTACTTTACTATTGTTTTAATGACATTTTTAGTTGACACAAACTGATTGATTGTAATTAATTACTTATTGACTGAGATTGACTGATTGTGACTGTGATTGTGTCAATCATAGTTACAGTATAGATTATAATTCATTTATTGTAAATATAGTTTTCCTTTATTGTTATTATTTTTAATTCCAAACGCTTGCTTTGGCTATATGTTACGTCATGCAGAGAGAGAGTGAGAGAGAGAGAGAGAGAGAGAGCGAGACATCAGCAGTCTCTCACTCTCTGTCTCATTACAGAGGACTCTCCTCCTTATTGATCAGCCAGCTCTCTCTCTCTCTCTCTCTCCTCAGTGACATCACTTTCTGATTTAGAGTTTAAGTGATCTGATGTGATCACATGTTTCTGTGTGACTGTTTCTATCAGAATACTTGAAAATGGATCTTGTAAAGTTTCCTTTCTTAAAGTACTTTAACACTACAGCCACATTCACTCTTTCACACACATTCACTCAGTGATGGTAAAGCCCATCAAACAGAAACTAACTCATTCATACTAGAGGTGGGCGATATATATCGTTTGCGATAATATCGTCATTGTTGTTTTGACGATGTGCAAATTTCCATTATCGAGTATTTAAATTACTTCGACAAAAACAATGAAACGCATGCGGAAACTCCTCACATCCATTAATACACGGTACAGCAGCGCTCTCTACAGCATGGCAGGATTCAGTCACACAACTAGTGGGCCTACGTGACCACATGACGTGATCACGTGACCTCTCGCTAGCATCCTCCTTGCAACAGTTTAGCAGCGCGTTGTGATGGTAGAGAGAAAATGCAAACACCTCCAGTCCCTGAAGCTCCCGGTACTTCAGATGATTCAGTGCCGAGACGTGGGTCCTATGGGCTTCAGCGTTCAGAGCCCTAAGCGCCTTCAGCGGTAAAAAGATGTCAGCGGAGACGTGTTTTTTTTAGCGCAGCGCTCAGAGCGCTTCAAGTTGAAATCTGTTCAACTTTTAACCCCGCTGGGCGCTCGGAAAATTAGTTTTTGAGTTCTCTCAGCGCTGTAAATGCGTTTGGTGGACACAAGTCCAGCTCAGACAATTCTAATCACATTTTAAAGGATATCGATTGATTATCGTTATCGCCAAAATCCCCAAACATATTGAGATATTATTTTTTGCCCATATCGCCCACCCCTAATTCATACACATTCACACATTCGGGGTTCAGTATCTTGTTCAAGGACACTTGAGCCGGGCATCGAACCAACAACCTTCTGATTAGTGGACAACCCACTCTGCCTCTGAGCCACAGCTGCCCTGTCATTTATCAACTGATGGACAATAATTGGACAATAAACGCAGTTCTAAATATATCGTAGTGAATTTCTGTTATGGGGACAATGGTGAAACTCCTCAGCAGTGACTGAAAGAGGTTTGTGGCACCAACGGACTCACTGCGTGTACGAGTGATGTCACTGATGGTTTAATGTTCCTGCTGCAGTGAGAATGAGGACCAATCTCTCGGGGGGGGTCAGGCCACGGTCAGGAGGTGCAGCAGTTAAACAGAGAGAGAGAGAGAGAGAGAGAGAGAGAGAGACAGAGAGAGAGAGAGAGAGAGAGAGCTGCACCGGTCCATCCTTCATCTCCTCCTCCTCCTCTGGAAACTGTTAGTGAGAGATCAAAGTGTCCACAGGTGGAGGTGTGAACCTGTGTTTGTCCCACCCTGGTTGGACTCCGTACAAAGCTGTTCACTTTCTACTGATCTGGACATATTAAACGGATCAGTATCAGAACATCAGGAAGCTCCACTCTGTAACGCCACCTGAGTAACTAACTAATATCTCACCAGTTAGCGCGCACACACACACACACACCGGGGGGGGCAATAAGTCCACCGATAACGGTCTGCTACGAACAACCCGCCCCGTTTCATTGTCACTCTCGACCGCTGTGTTGTGGTGTGTGTGTGTGTGTGTGTGTGTGTATGTGCTGTAACATCAGCCGACCAATCAGAGCTCCAGCGCCTCTTACAGCTTATTGTTCAGTGTTCAGTGGTACACGGTGTTGATTCTGCCCCCCACAGTCAGCAGTACCCGATATATCTGCCCCAGCAACGTCAGCTACTGTTCAATATGTCGGTTTAAGTTCTGTTCGCTAACTTCGTCTTGACCTCGGTTCAGTGTGATGTAGTGCTCATTACAGCTTCCTGTTGGGAGAACGGCTCTCCTGTGGTCGGCGCTGTGCGGCACATAACAACAGACTGCAGCTCACAGCTTTACTATTACACACAGTATATCACACTGGACACTTCCTGTTCAACAGCCAATCAGAGCCGCTCTACAGCACCACACAGGAAGCTGAGAACTGGGTTTGTTACCGAGTAACCGAGGAAAAAACCCATCACACACGGATGATATTGATCAGTATACACTGTATCTTTATGGATTATTGATCAGTATACACTGTATCTTTATGGATTATTGATCAGTATACACTGTATCTTTATGGATGATATTGATCAGTATACACTGTATCTTTATGGATTATATTGATCAGTATACACTGTATCTTTATGGATTATTGATCAGTATACACTGTATCTTTATGGATTATTGATCAGTATACACTGTATCTTTATGGATGATATTGATCAGTATACACTGTATCTTTATGGATGATATTGATCCTGTATTGACAGTCAGACTGTGGACATATGACGGCCTTTAGCTCGTGTTTCTAGAGTTACGTGTTGTTACGAACACGTTAGGAATTGTTAAAATGTGATATTTCTTAAAGGGAGTTTGGTGCAGGGAGCTTTTAGTTGGATTCAAACTGCTGATATGGATCATTGTTAACGTTTAGTCTCCACTACAGAAACACTAGCTAACTGCTGAAGGCTGATCAGGTTGATTGATGCTTTAATAATATGAGTATTGATTACTGACACTGGCTTATCAGGATCATTATCAGCTGGTTGTACTGTACCAGTGTGCTGTAAGTGGCACCGTCCCGTCTGTTGTAGCTGGATAACACTGAAATCAAACATTTCCACCATGTTCTGATTATTTGACTACGGTATGTTTGCTGACTGACAGTCAAATTTTCTGTGCACATACGAGCGTCTGCGATTGGTTTAAAGCGCTCACGTGACAAACCTCAGACAACCCCGTCTCCTCTTTTGTGGTTCACCACTTTTGTTTACATTTTTCAGGACTCGGTTCAGGAAAAACAGCTTTATAATAATCTGCTTCCCCTCGTCGTCTGCAGCCAGTGCTGCTGTTATTCTCCCGTTTCCTCTCAGTTACGCTGCTTCTTCATGTAATCCCACAGCTGACAGGGAGTATAAATATATCAATGAAAACAAATAGACCAACGGCAGCTTATTTTACTGCATCACACCTCCGAGTTCAACCGCTACCTCCACTCTCAAGGCCACACTTTCAAATTCATAGGAAAACGTAGAACACAGCGGACCCATAGCTCAGCACTTCTGTCATTTCTATAAAGAAACTAAATTAAATTGTTGTTTTTAACGTTTTATGATGTAAACTTTAAAAGATCTGAACACAGAGCTTCAGTCTCTGATAAACGACCAAATCAGAAACCAAAGAGCTGACAGAACAAAGAGGAGGAAACCGTGAATCTGTCAGAACAGAAGAATATTAAATCTGATTGGTAAAAATACAGATAGAGAATGTATAAAAACTCCTCTCTGATCAATATTCACAGGAAATACTCAAATCTCTGGTTTTACACAAACTTCCTGCAGTGATTGAGTTCACTGTTTGTGTTCATTGATCAGTTGATCAGCTGTTCTGTGCTGTTATTGATACAGATCAATAGAATATGAACTATACAGTCAGTTTACTCACTGATAGGAGGGTTGGGAAGCAGTGGGTTAAATGACGAGGTGTTAAATAAAAAGTTTTCTGCTACTTTACGTTACGCAATCATCCTCAAATGTGTCTTTACAAGCTTCAGTAGCATGTTTTACCTGAAGATTTGTTTGGTACAGAGGTCCAATCACAGTATGACGTTTCCACCTAAAATACTAAAAATACTAAACCAGATTCCTGCTGAAATAAAACTCGGCTGATTTTCCAGCTCAGACTGACAGGAAATGACACAAAGTCCTAAAATCTGAGCAGATTTGGGGTTTTAGAGAAAACATTAGGAGCCTGAGCCTGGTGGCTAACTCCTCAGCTCTGGGTGCCACTGTCCTTTAGCTCAAAGCTAACACAGAGCACTGAGCTTCAAACACAAACACAAGACTAATGGCAGTTTATTTCAGAGTCACACCTCAGAGTTCAACGCCTGCCTCGACTCAAACTCACCGCTTCACAACCCTGAAAGACGACAAATCACAGTATCGCACCGGATAAACAGAGTGAGTCAGAGCACGCCTCCCACCACGCTACCGATATCCTGCGTCTGTCGATAGCTTTAACAGGAAGGTAAACAGTCGGTGTCTACTGTGGCCCTTCAGATAGAACAACAACCCCTCACGTTGCTCCGGAGTTCAATTACAGCCCATTAATGGATTAAGACACAATGAAGCACTAAAAGCTGGATAAAACTGGGCTTAAGTTAAATGACAAACACCTTAATGGAGTCATTTGTTCCTTCTGCAGCTTATTATTCAAAGTATCAGCTGACCTCAGTGACCTTTCTCCTGCACGTTGTACACAGCTGCAGTAATCTACCTGTAAAGATCTGCTCTATATCGTCCTGTCACCTGTAGATAATAACAGCTCTCACTGACAGTGACACAGTCAGTGCAGACTGAATGAATGCTGGTAGGAGGCTGGGGGAGTGTGATCGTCCTGATCTTAACGTTACTTCCCCTTTTGATTTGCTTTGTTGTTTTTGTTTGTTTCTTTGTCACATTAATGATATTAAAGTCTTATATCTGTGTGTGTGTGTGTGTGTGTCTGTGTGTGTGTCTGTGTGTGTATCTTATATCTGTGTGTGTGTGTGTGTGTCTGTCTGTGTGTGTGTGTGTGTCTGTGTGTATCTGTCTGTGTGTGTCTGTGTCTGTCTGTCTGTGTCTCTGTGTGTGTGTGTCTGTGGTTGTGTCTCTGTGGTTGTGTCTGTGTGTCTGTGTCTGTATCTGTCTGTGTGTGTCTCTGTGTGTCTGTCTGTGTGTCTGTAGAGTTATTCCTAATAAAGGATTTCCAGCTTTAAGGTTAAACGTGTGTCTGTGTGTGTGTATCTTATATCTGTGGGTCTGTCTCTGTGTGTGTATCTGTCTGTCTGTCTGTCTGTGTGTGTGTGTCTTTATCTGTGTCTCTGTGTGTGTGTCTGTGGGTTGTGTATTTGTGTGTGTGTGTCTCTGTCTGTGGGTTGTGTATCTGTGTGTCTGTCTGTGTGTCTCTGTGTGTGTCTCTGTGTGTCTGTCTGTGTGTCTGTCTGTCTGTCTGTCTGTCTGTCTGTGTCTGTAGAGTTATTCCTAATAAAGGATTTCCAGCTTTAAGGTTAAACGTGTGTCTCCCTGTAGTGTATCCAGTGTGGCTCACTCAGTCTCACACTGTTCGCTGTATTCAGACTTCAGGAGCAGTTCACTGAACAACTGCAAATAAAGTTGAACCCAGATCTTTCTATCATGTTAGCTAGCTAGCACTGGTGTTAGCCACTCATCTCTGGACTGTTTGCTCAACAATGCTAATTATATTCTAAATTATATTATTTCAGCAGCTTATTGAACCCGTAAAGAAACTAAACAGTTGGTAACACACAGGTCCCACGGAGCTAGCTATGTTAGCCACCGTTAGCTGGCGGAGGCTGCCTCGTCGGGCCGCTAGCGCAAAGCTAACAGGCACCTTAATAACGTCTTATAGAGCATTTAGCTGAGCACTGCTAGCCTCCAACGCACATAATGACATTTAATTAAAAGTCCAACATCGAATAAGCTGAATGTATTTATCACAGATTGCCCGAGGCCCACCGTGGCCTGCTACAATGCTAACGGCGCCCATTATCGGACGCAGTGGCTGCGGGCTCTAACGGTGAGATTTCATTTGAACACAAAGCGGCCATTTTTCCAGCAACCTCACCGGAGCTTCAGTGTGACAGTACAGTCGGTACAGCACGTTTGAATCCCGACGTCCAGCCTCGAGCAGATCGTTTATATAACTGTTGACCTGACGTCCTATTTGTCGTGTGATGGACAATTAACCGATGCGGCGCGTTCAGCCTCCCTGTCAGAGCCCTGCATCCATTATCGGACAGCCGTACAGCTCCTGTTGCTTTACCTTCTTTATGCAGCATTTATTCACATTTTCATCACAACTACAATAATATTAAACACAATGAGTTCACAGCGGACGTTAAACTGCTGCGTGGGAGTTTATAAAATGCTACTTTTAGCTTGAAAACACGCCGGTGCTGATTGAACGGACGTTGAACGGGTTTCAAACGGACACTGTGGTGTAGCTACAGAGGACGGACACCAACCGTCACACGGACAATAACGTGTTAATGTGTGTAAAACAAACATGGAGGTTGTGGATTATCATTGTACAGGTGAAAGGAAAGAAAGCGGGTCAGACGGGGACGTGTCCGATAATGGAAGCATGTCCCTTAGCTCCGCCGGTCGCCATATTTTTCCTCCCAGGGTGGCGAAGTCATGACCCGCCTTACTCCCGCCTCTGATTGGCTAGCGCTTGTCGCCTTCATTGGTTTGATTGGTTGGGTTTACGCATGAGCAGTGCGATTGGTTCCAGCCGGGGTTGAGAATGTCCGGGTGAACCAATCAGAGGCGGAGGGGGGCGGGTCATGACTTCGCCATCCTGGGGAGAAAAAAAATATCGCCAGACAAAGACAGCAGCTAGCCTGCCGAGCTAACCCCCGGGATAGCTAGCAGGCTATCCCGCGTTTGAAAAAAAAAAAAAGTGCATCCAAAATCCCACCCGGGTTCACCGCGTCCACTCACCCGGGTTCGAATCCCAATCCGACCAGCGTTCATGTGCACTCCATATGTCCCAGTAATCCCAGTGAAACTGCTCAAACAAGCTCCCAAACTGGTGGATTGGACAGGCAGACCAGTCAACGTGCTCCCAGTTCACTGGACCGCAGCCATCACACGCTCACATCCCGCAGAAACCTGGAAAACTGCGGGAAACACCGACATTCCGGGCTCACTTCTCGCTCCCGGACGACGGTAAAACTAATCCCAGATATTCCATGACCGGATGTGATATTCCCAGAGTTTCCAACACCGACGTTATCCCCGGTAACAGACACACAGACAGCAACAGACAGACAGACAGCACTGTGGGGCTAAATGGCTGTTAGGTACAATGCAACCAAACCCCGGAGCACCGGATCGGTGGAGTCACTGGACCTGGACTCGGTTCCCTGGAGTGGATTCACTGACTGGACCTGGACTCAGAATAATAATAAAAATGTACTTAAAGCATTAAACTCATGAGAATATCCCTGTTGTACTATTATATCTGATATTATGACATTACTGTAAAAGCAACTAATGATTATTAACTCTTTATATCAACCTTGTTCCTTAAGGGATTCTTAACTAAACGGACGCAATTACATATTTTAATGGGTATTTTACATTATGTTCAATAAACAACAATAACTGCAGGAAGTTTGTGTAAAATTAGCGATTTAGATGAATTTTGAGCAGATTATTTCCTGTGAATATTGATCAGAGATTATATTTTTATACAATCTGTCTGTTTTCTGTATTTTTGAACAGTCATACATTCTTAACGAGCTTCTTTTAATACATATTCAGTGTTTCTTTCTCCCTGACGCTCGTTCTATGAACTCTTTATAACTGTCTCCAACCCAAAGCGTCTTTCTGTCTTTCTTAGCTCTGATTGGTTGTTTTTGTTCACATGGTGGATTCTTATTTTTATAAAAGTTACCTGCTGCAGCTTTAAACATCAAGGGTTACAATTTCTGAAAATAATACTTTACTGAAGGATTTTTACTTATAGTTGAGTAATATTTATGGATATAAAAAGATGGACCCTCTCTTTCTCCCCCTGGTGGCAGACTGCAGTATAGCTCATAAATACACTTTTCACATTATTTATTTATTTTAGGTTGTTCTTATCTCGCTGATGTTTATTTAGTGTTTATTTTCATTATCAGTTTGGTTTTAATACGTTTTTAGAAGATAAAAAAAAAATGCTCGCCATTGAGTCGGATGGACATATGGGCGGGACCTCGATCCCGCGGTGCCAACCCCGATCACTACTGCACAGACTGATGGCAGCGGCTGTATCCTGATATTCTTAATTTCTGTACAGTGGGAGCAAGTGGAGACTATATGTGTGGATGTTACGTACCTGCAGACTATAAAGTATAATTCCTGCTTATATTATGGTCGGGTTTTACTCGTACAGACGCAGTTTGTCTCACGTGTCGTCGCAGATAACGGCGCAGACAGAATCTGCTGTTGTGTGTTGTATCTGGTTGTTAATATAAAGTTAAAACTCACTGTCTCATCTCTGCACAATCAAGGTGTGAATGTCAGAATGTCAGTTTTGAGAAAATCCCCCCCCCCCAGTCTGACATTGGAAAGCTGGTGGGGGGGTTCTGACACCTTAACCATCACAACTGAACTCCTCTACCCCAAACTGAACCTAAAATCCAGCCCAAACTGAGGACCAAACAAAACGTCCCCACTTTGCAAAGATGTCCTCACTTCCAAGGTCTGAACTCACATTGGTCCCCACAAAGACAGACATACACACAGTGTGTGATTACACGTTCAATCAATATCCTCTGCAGAGGGAGAGCGAGCTGCAATTACATTTTTATTTGAATCCTCTCCCCTTTTGTTCATTAAGGTCAGACTGTACGGAGCACCAGAGAATAATGATGAAGAGTGATGAAGAAATAATGAAGGCGTAATGAGGGAGTAATTCTGTGTTCACATCATATGAACTCTGTGGTTTGGACCCAGACAAACCTTACGGATACATTACGGTACGTCTACCCAACATTTGATCATCAATCAGCCGTTTCAGTGATCGATCACATAGTTTGAACCATTTCTCTCCAAATGTGGCCGAGAGTTTCTTTTATTTAAGTCTGGAGAATCAGAGAGAAATATATGGAAGATTATTGCTGCCAAGAAAATAAAAACAGATCAGTATCGTGTTATAACAGGACACATTAGCTGGGGAAGCTAACGTTAGCCAACTATCATATCCACTCTGATAGTATTTTACTAGCGATAATGTTAGCACGCAAGCAAGCTAAGATTAGGATGCAATCTGCAAACAGGAGTTTGGATGAATGAATATCCAGCTAACAGCCCAATCAGACAATATGTTCCACAAGCTTTGCAGTAATGTTAGCTTTGACTTTGGACTCTGTGTTGGACTCTGTGTTGGACTCTGTGTTGGACTCTGTGTTGTGGACTCTGTGTTGTGGACTCTGTGTTGTGGACTCTGTGTTGGACTCTGTGTTGTGGACTCTGTGTTGGACTCTGTGTTGGACTCTGTGTTGGACTCTGTGTTGTGGACTCTGTGTTGGACTCTGTGTTGTGGACTCTGTGTTGGACTCTGTGTTGGACTCTGTGTTGTGGACTCTGTGTTGGACTCTGTGTTGTGGACTCTGTGTTGGACTCTGTGTTGGACTCTGTGTTGGACTCTGTGTTGGACTCTTTGTTGTGGTGGGTGTCGGTCGTTTGTAGACGTTAGCGGACTCCATGTTATACTGCTGTGTTGGTGTGTGTGGTGGCTAAACTTTTTTTTTTTTTTTTTTTTTTTGGGGGGTGTGGGTTTTTTTTGTAGGTTTTCGGACTCCATTTATATGCTAGCTAAACGTTAGCAAGTAGTAGCTAACATAGAAACACATGTAAATCAGTGCACAGGCAGCAGAGGAGGTCAGAGGTCAGAGGAAGTCAGAGGAAGTCAGAGGAAGTGATAAAAGTGAAGTTAAATGGAACCTTAAAGTCTTCGTGGTTTAAAGATTGATGACACAAACTGTAATAATTGACCTTGTTTACAGTTTGAGTTGTGCTGTCAGCACTTTCACAGACGTCTCTGTTGGAGTGATGGTTTATGGGAGTTTTTGGCACCGGGGTAAGTCGGCGTGTTGGAGGCGGTGATTGACAAGTTAATCACCTGAAATGAATGTGTGAATCAATCAGGATTATGTCTGCATGGTGGCTGTGACGTCATCAGATCAGCGAGACACTCGATCAATGACTCTGATTACTCTCATATCAAGAGCTCTTCTGCTGGAGCTCTTCAGACTCATTGATGAAACGATGTCACAAAATAAATAAAAAATACCGTCTATATAAACCGCCGCAGTCACAACACAGCTCTCTCTCTCTCTCTGTCCTCCACTCCAACACAATGTCTCTCGTCCATCCGGTGTTTCTCCACTGTAACACAGCAAAATAAGCAGACTTCAAAATAAATGGATTCCCCACAGCGATTCATCACAGCGAGAACACACACCCACTCAGAGGCAAAACATGCTCAATTAATCCTGCACACACACACACACACACACACACACACACACACTGATGCAGCATATTGAACCATTCTTTGAAACCGGCCTCTGGCGTCGAGTTTCATCTGTATTCAGAAGAGAGTCTGGAGAATAAAAAATAGTGGATTTTATATTCTGGTCGATTCCACCCAGAGAGTCTTCCACTCAGGCCAGAATCACAATTTAACTCCTGACAGAGACGTCACGACACTGAAGTTTACAGAATAAAATACAGAACATTTCAGGAAGTTCACTCCAGCTTTGAGCTAACTTTTCCTGAAGGGAACCTTTTCTATCAGTAAACTGACAATGTGTCATATTTTATAGATATTACATATTATATTCAGTGTCTAACAATAACTGCACTGGGAGCATTAACCTGCTATATAAGGTCACTCTGTGTTTCACTTATTTAACTTGCATCCATTGTTTTATTGGCCACTAGGGGGCACTGCACGCAGCTGAAGCTGTTTATTAAAAGCCTGCAGCCACTCAATGATCCAGTAAATTGTGTTATAGGGCTGCACAGGCAATGCTAAAACAGCAACACATCTGGTAACATGGAGGCAGTTTAATCCTTCTCTACCTAAAGCATCGCAGTCGTGTTCCTGTAAACAGCCAGTTGGCACCTTAAACGACCTTCAATCTCATATTTTACTGCAACCACCAAACCACGGCCGTCCAGCCTGAGTAATTGTGTTCTCCTGGATGTGAGGTTGGCCTGAGGAGGCTTCAACTAACTGTGAAATAGATGACTGAGGTTTTGGTTTCAAACCAGCTACACCTGCCAAGAAACACAACCCTCTTCAGAGTGCGAGGCCCGGCTCGCCGCACACGTTTCTCCTTCAGTTTAACTGGAGCTGACGGCTTAATAAAAGGAGAGAGCTGTTTGTCTGTGAGCTCGTCTGTCGTCATTATTTCCCTCTCTGGCCGGCTGTCTTCATGAGGAGACTGCGAGGACGAAGCTTCATGCTTTCTCTCCATTATTCGATCATAAACATGATAACAAGGCTGCCACGTAAAAAAGAGGAAATGTTTAAAGCTTCTTTATGTAAAGTTCATTAAACTGTAGTTAACAGGGCCACAAGTGTTAACACCAGACCCTCACCACACAGCCAAGACACAGCCAGCCGAACAACCCCAGCTTATTAATAAGTAATTAATTCATAAAAATAATATGAACAATGCTTCATAATCTTATATATAGAAAAACTGAGATTATGTGAAGAAACATGCTAATAAAGTCGAATAAATAATAAAGACAAACACAGACTATATACTGTGTATGCTATAACTACAGTCTGCATGTTAATATATTTTAAAGCACATAAAAAGCTGACTTTGATACTGAGGGGGAGGAATAAATTAGGTTGCTGGTTCAAATCCCAGATCAGATCAGACAAGCTGCATGGCGCCCTCTAACAGCTCAACATGGAACTGAACTGCTGACAGTTTAATATTACTATTCAACTATTCAAACAGAGAAAATACATCACAGATAATAAAGTGGAAATAAAATATAGAAACTCAGTTAATATTAATACTGTTTATTATAAAAAGTCAAATAATTTTTTATGGATGCAATACTAAGGTTATCTAAGGGGTGTTCAGTCTTCTCAGTTAGTAATAATAGTTATTAAACACAAACTTTAAATAATTTCACCAAATCTTTCATTATTTGGCTGCCTGAAAATTAGATATTTGCAATTGAAAATATTAAATTTCACTGTAATTGAACAGTTCAATTATTCAAAGTACAGATTTGTTTGTTTCTAAAACTTTCTAACTTCTTCTAATACTCTAAAGCAGAAAAGTAAATTAACATTATTTATTATTAGTCTATTTCAAAACTTTAGAGTTTAATGAAGACAGCTGCCTTGAAATTAGTTTTCTTAACTTTTTAAGTAAAGTGAGCTATATTCTATAATTTAATTAACCAAACATTTAGTTTTGCTCTAGTTCAACTTCTTCCAGCTTCTACAATGCTGTTATTCTGTCTTTCTTTCTCTTAAATTATATATTTATATACATTTTTCCAGATGAACTCCAGCTAACAGACGTAATAGTTGTTCGTGGTTATAATTTGGTGTTTCTGGTGTCTGATCAGGTCAGTTTGTAGAACAGCTGCTGTCAGCCAATCAGTGTCCAGAAAACTCTGAGTGCATTTAATTTATTAAAAAATATATGAAATTATACATATATATTAAATACTAATGTTGTATGTGATGTTTATAATCTACAGTCATATATACATTAATATCAGGTGTGTATGAGTGTGTGTGTGTGTGTGTGTGTGTGTGTGTGTGTGTGTGTGTGTGAGTGTGCCTCCTCGGCTCATTAATAATTAATAGGAACTTTATCTGGCTGCAGTGAGATAAAAAGGGGTACATCTCCATGGCGACAACCCCCCGGACCTGTAAACACACCTCCTGCTGGGTGAACGAGTCAATGTGAGAGTGTCGGAGGAGCAGCATGCACAGGTCCTACCAGCCTCTAAAACCCGTCACCAACCGATACCTGCAGCAGCGATGGGAACAGAACAACTTCGACGACCACCGCAGAAAGGTAGGAAGGAAGGAGGTAAAGGTAGGAAGAAAGGAGGTAAAGGTAGGAAGAAAGGAGGTAAAGGAAGGAAGGAAGGAGGTAAAGGTAAGAAGAAAGGACGTAAAGGTAGGAAGAAAGGAGGTAAAGGTTGGTAGGAAGGAGGTAAAGGAAGGAAGAAAGGAGGTAAAGGTAGGAAGGAAGGAGGTAAAGGTTGGAAGGAAGGAGGTAAAGGTTGGAAGGAAGGAGGTTAAAGGTATCAAGAAAGGAGGTTAAAGGTAGGAAGGAGGGAGGTAAAGGTATCAAGGAAGGAGGTTAGAGGTTGGAAGGAAGGAGGTAAAGGTAGGAAGGAAGGAGGTTAGAGGTTGGAAGGAAGGAGGTAAAGGTAGGAAGGAAGGAGTGTTGGAGATGAAGGAGCAGAGAAATATTGTGTTTCAGAACAGAACAGTTTGGTTACAGTGATGGATGATGAAGAATTGACTGTATGGATGATTATATGTGTATGAATAAGAATTAATAGAGAATAAAGGATAGAATATCCATTAAATACTTACCTGAAGTTACCCAGTTGGTTAAAGCTATATTCATTGTGTGTTTTTTGGCCTCTTGGGGGCAGTAATACAGAACAGTTACAGAACAACATGATCATTCATCGTTCACTATAAGTGCTTTTACTGTTAATTATAATGTTTGATTAATTTAAAATTATGAAATGAAGTTTAGCGGAAATTGAAGTGTTATCTATGTTGGAGTAGTTAAGTTGGTCTGTGTTTACCTGTCCAGGTGAGCTCCGCCCTGCCGGTAGTGGACAACAAAGGCATGAGGACACCAGCTCACGTCCAACTCAAACTCAAAAAACTACAGGTCAGAGGACACTTATCCTAACCCCAACTTTACCCCAACTTTACTCTAACTGTACTCTAACTTTACTCTAACTTAACCCTAACTTTACCCCAACTTTACCCTAACTTTACCCCAACTTTACCCCAACATTACTCTAACTTAACCCTAACTTTACCCCAACATTATCCCAACTTTACTCTAACTTAACCCTAACTTTACCCCAAATTTACCCTAACTTTACCCCAACTTTACCCCAACATTACCCTAACTTACCCCAACATTACAACATTACCCTAACTTTACCCCAACATTACTCTAACTGTACTCTAACTTTACTCTAACTTTACCCTAATTAACTAACACAAACACACACACACACACACACACACACACACACACACACACACACTCTCTCTCTCTCTCTCTCTCTCTCTCTCTCTCTCTCTCACACACACACACACACACACACACACACACACACAAAAACTGTTAGTTTTCTGCCTCCTGGTTACGTTGCTTCATTAAAATAATCAGTGAGTTAAATGTCAGTCGGCTTTAATAAAGAGGAAGTTTAAGCTTTAACTGTCAGTCAGTTTCCATTAAAGTGTTTGCTTTCTGTGATTCAGCTGCAGGATGAGCGGCTGTCAATCATCGACAGGGATAACCGCCTCCTGGCCTCCAGACTGGCCGACATTGTTTGCTCTAAAGGCGTGGTGGACCATCGGAACCAGTACCACCTGAGGAGGTCAGAACCTGTTCCACACAACACACAACACACAACTTATGTCACATTATATGCTAATAATCTGATGTCATATCACGAGATGTCTTGTCCCGTTATGTAATGTTATATCCATTATATCTCCTTTTATACCCTGATACGTCCTATAAAATCATGTCTTATTGCATTATGTCACATCCTGTCACTTCATGGCATTAAATGTTATAATCTGATGTTTAACGTCCTCATATTTTATCTTTATCTTCACCTTGTTATGAAATTAAGTCATCATTACATCGCTGTAACACATCAGTAACACGGGCAGGTAGAGTATAGGCAGTAATAACAGCTGATATATTTACACATATATTTATATAAAGTTTATTTTCTGACAGTTTGTGACCTTCACAGAGTTTTTCCTCACTCAGTGTGAAACCTGTGAGTTTTCCCCACTGAGCTCTTTAACATTGCTCTGATGATGCCAGCGCGCCTTGTTGGACCTTTAAATAATTGATGTGACCAGTCCCGCTCTGTTACGCTGTTGAATTATTGATCTGGATGTGGATGTGTGATGGTGGTGACAGTCTCTGGTATTTATCTGCCCTCAGTGGGCTGTAAAATCTTTAATCTTGACAGGAGCTGCAAAGCTGCTCTCAAATCTTTTATTCTGTGACTCCAGTGGAAGCTGCAATAAATCCACATTCACAACAGCAACAAAACAACAACAAACAGCAACAAAACAGCAACAAACAACAACCAAACAGCAACAAACTGCAACCAAACAGCAACAAACAACAACAAGCCGCAACAAAACAGCAACAAACAAAAACAAAACAACAACAAAACTGCAACAAAACAGCAACAAAACAACAACAACAAAACAGTTCCATTAACAGTAGTTGTTGATTGTTCCACTAACAGTAGTTGTTGTTGTTTGTTCCACTAACAGTAGATGTTGTTTGTTCCACTCACAGTATTTGTTGTTTGTTCCACTAACAGTAGTTGTTGTTTGTTCCGTTAACAGTAGTTGTTGTTTGTTCCACTAACAGTAGTTGTTGTTTGTTCCACTAACAATAGTTGTTGTTGTTCGTTCCACTAACAGTAGTTGTTCTTTGTTCCACTAACAATAGTTGTTGTTTGTTCCACTAACAGTACTTGTTGTTTGTTCCACTAACAGTAGCTGTTGTTTGTTCCACTAAAAGTAGTTGTTGTTTGTTCCACTAACAGTAGTTGTTGTTTGTTCCACTAACAGTATTTGTTGTTGTTTGTTCCACTAACAGTAGTTGTTGTTTGTTCCACTAACAGTAGCTGTTGTTTGTTCCACTAACAGTAGTTGTTGTTTGTTCCACTAACAATAGTTGTTGTTGTTTGTTCCACTAACAGTACTTGTTGTTTGTTCCACTAACAGTAGTTGTTGTTGTTTGTTCCACTAACAATAGCTGTTGTTTGTTCCACTAAAAGCAGTTGTTGTTTGTTCCACTAACAGTAGTTGTTGTTTGTTCCACTAACAGTAGTTGTTGATTGTTCCACTAACAGTAGTTGTTGATTGTTCCACTAACAGTAGTTGTTGTTTGTTCCACTAACAGTAGTTGTTGATTGTTCCACTAACAGTAGTTGTTGATTGTTCCACTAACAGTAGTTGTTGTTTGTTCCACTCACAGTATTTGTTGTTTGTTCCACTAACAGTAGTTGTTGTTTGTTCCACTAACAGTAGTTGTTGTTTGTTCCACTAACAATAGTTGTTGTTGTTCGTTCCACTAACAGTAGTTGTTCTTTGTTCCAGTAACAGTAGTTGTTGTTTGTTCCCCTAACAGTTGTTGTTGTTTGTTCTACTAACAGTAGTTGTTTGTTCCACTAACAGTAGTTGTTGTTTGTTCCACTAACAATAGTTGTTGTTGTTCGTTCCACTAACGGTAGTTGTTCTTTGTTCCACTAACAGTAGTTGTTTGTTCCACTAACAGTAGTTGTTGTTTGTTCCACTGACAGTAGTTGTTGATTGTTCCACTAACAGTAGTTGTTGTTGTTTGTTCCGCTAACAGTAGTTGTTGATTGTTCCACTAACAGTAGTTGTTGTTGTTTGTTCCACTAACAATAGCTGTTGTTTGTTCCACTAACAGTACTTGTTGTTTGTTCCACTAACAGTAGCTGTTGTTTGTTCCACTAACAATAGTTGTTGATTGTTCCACTAACAGTAGTTGTTGTTGTTTGTTCCACTAACAGTAGTTGTTGTTTGTTCCACTAACAGTAGTTGTTGTTGTTTGTTCCACTAACAGTAGTTGTTGTCTGTTCCATTAACAGTAGTTGTTGTTTGTTCCACTAACAGTAGTTGTTGTTTGTTCCACTAACAGTAGTTGTTGTTTGTTCCACTAACAGTAGTGGTTGTTGTTTGTTCCACTAACAGTAGTTGTTGTTTGATCCACTAACAGTAGTTGTTTGTTCCACTAACAGTAGTTGTTGTTTGTTCCACTAACAGTAGTGGTTGTTGTTTGTTCCACTAACAGTTGTTGTTGTTTGTTCCACTAACAGTAGCTGTTGTTTGTTCCACTAACAGTAGTTGTTGTTTGTTCCACTAACAGTAGTGGTTGTTGTTTGTTCCACTAACAGTAGTTGTTGTTTGATCCACTAACAGTAGTTGTTGTTTGTTCCATTAACAGTAGTTGTTGTTTGTTCCACTAACAGTAGTTGTTGTTTGTTCCACTAACAGTAGTGGTTGTTGTTTGTTCCACTAACAGTAGTTGTTGTTTGATCCACTAACAGTAGTTGTTTGTTCCACTAACAGTAGTTGTTGTTTGTTCCACTAACAGTAGTAGTTGTTGTTTGTTCCACTAACAGTAGTTGTTGTTTGTTCCACTAACAGTAGTAGTTTCTGCCACTGACAGACTCAGGTTGTTATTGTCAGTGTCTGACAGCATTATGGAAAGGATCCCTACAGAGATAGACCTTTAGTTTAACCACAAACAGCCGTAATATCACTATCACTCTCCACCAGACTCCAGAGACACAAACACTCATTTTACCTTCAGATCATTATAACACTTCATCATCGTTAACCGTCCTCCTTTCACTTCTCCTCAGTCTGAACGCTGACAGGAGGAGGGAGGAGCTTCTACTGGTCAGCCGCCAGAATCAGGCCATCTACCAGCGAATCACGTCTCGCCAGTCAGAGTACCGCCGCCAGCTATGGTTGGATGACTGGGAGAAGGCAGAGCGTCGGCGGGACGACATTTCCCGATACCCCCGAGGGCTCGCAGAGAAACAGGTGAGTCAGATATGTGACAATATTTCAACTTAAACATAAAAAGACAACTTTATAAAACCTTTTCTTAATATTTAGAAAACAGTCAATACAAAGTAAATAATCCATCAAACAACATTTTCATATTAAGATTTAAAGGTTCTATATGTAACTTCACAACCCAAACTTAACTTAGCTACAGTTAGCTAGCTGGATGCTCCTGCCTCGCATCACTCTAGGCTAGTAGAAAGCTATAGTTAGCTTTGTACCGCTACAAAATGTATTGTTGGCTAACATCAACACCATTTGTCAGAATACATAAGTTAGTTATAATGGATCACGTTAGCTGGGGAAGCTAATGTTAGCCAACTAACATATTCACTCAGATAGTATTTTACTAGCGATAATGTTAGCGAGCAAGCTAAGGTTAGCCAGCCATACTGAATAACATTTTTCGGAACTCCAGCCGATCAGTCACCTGATTCTGGATGAAGCTAGCTGATAGCATTTTGCTGCATTAGCTGACTAGCAACTCATCTGTGTTAGCCAACAAGCTAACGGTATCCAACTAAAAGCACAATCAGACAATATGTTCCACCAGCTTTACAGTAATGTTAGCTTTGACTTTGGACTCTGTGTTGGACTCTGTGTTGTGGACTCTGTGTTGCCCACTGTTGGCACTGTAGGGAAGCGGAGAGAGAAGGCACTCGGGAGCATAAAGGTCACAACCTTTGACCCTCATCCTACATAGAGACACATAGAGATCAGTCCACAGGCAGCAGAGGGACAAAGCTACACTACAACCCGTTCAGTGATCAATAATCTGATTATTATAGAGACCGAACAGGATTCACAGTCCGACATATGGAAGCTTTAAACTTTGAAAACTGATTCTCCTGCTGTTCAGTTTTCTTCACAACATAATGCACCAGAGTGTCAGAAAACCACTTTAGTGAGATCAGAGACGTCTGGTGGGCTGAATGGATGCTGAAGCTCCAGCAGAGTCATCAAATGCAGCGAGTCGATGTACAATCGCCGCGCTCTCTCTGTACATCGATGACTGGTTGTTATCTCAGGATGACCCCTGAAGCAGAGGATGTGTCATCAGTGCAGTTTGTTTGTGTCTGCAGAGGTCGAACAGGAAGGTGAAGTTCGCCGCGGTGGAGGGCAGCGAGCGCTCGACGAGCTGCAGCACCACAGACACCGACAGGACCGACAGACAAACACTGGAGCCGCTGAAGTAGACCAACTGTCCTCAGATACTTTTAGATTTAACAACCAAACATGATAAAACCCGTCCTACTGTCTGTCTGCTGGAGATATAAAGAGAAAGAAGAAATAAAAAGTTCCTGGAATAAAACGTCTGTCACATGTTTGGAGCCACTTTATTAGCTGTTACTTTCATGATTGTACTCTGACCAGGTGTCTGCTAACTGCTAATGTTAGCGTAGCTATGACCTGATAGGGTTGAGGTCCTCGGAGTATCTGGTACAGAAAATATACTTTTTATGAGCATTAAATGAGTGAAATGTGTCAATATCTCGTAAATACAGCAACTTTTGATCAGTTCTTTTACTCTTGTGATAAGTAATATTGATCTGAAGCTCAGTTATGTAAATCGTTCTAATAATTCTAATAAATATAACAACTTGTGATCAACCCACATTAATTTCAGGCTTAAATTAAAGTCAATGTAGCCCCACCCACTGTATGTTTAAACCCCGCCTACTCAGAGTGAACTGACCGATCCTGCTTCAGACTGATAACAGACACAGAAATAAATAAATATATAAATAACTAAAGAAATACATGCAGATATACAGAAATTTAAAAAATTTTAAAATCAGAATCAGAAATACTGCTCATGAGACAATAAAGGAATAAAAATAATAATAAGAAGTCTGTTAAAATATGTATTATATTATAATATCTAACAACAATATAAATAGAAAATAGAAAAAGACAGAATCAAAATGAAAAAAGAAGATATAATAGAAGTTTGAAGTATGTACATTATAATACAATATATAAGATATAAATATATATATATATGCTACAGTATATGACAGAAGTGTAATGAATAATGAATAAATAGTAATCAATCCCTAAAGAATTGCAGTATTGGTGACAGAATAAACAGGAGTAAATATATATTAAAATACATAAATATCCAATTTAATTACTAAAATATATTTAATTTGATTATTTATTTCTACATTTATTAATGCTTCTGTGATGTTTTGTCCTCCATACACATTGCACTGGGCTCTCACTGTTAATCAGTGGAGTTGTTTCACCCCTTTAGAGACACTTTTCTTCCACTCTGCAGTTTCTCCACCAGGTGGCAGTATGACCACGTGTCTGCTGCTGGTTGTCCACACTGTGTGAGGAGGAAGAAGATTAACGAGCGCTGTGCTTTGTCCCTTCAGCTCATTTGGTTTCTATTATCAGAATCTCATTAAACACAGAGACACAATACATATACACTGTAATTTAACATAATGCCTTTTAGAAAAATATTCTTTCATTCCTTACTTTTATAACAGAATGAAATGAGGAGGAGGTTTGATACTGAAGTAATTTCACTAATGGTTTTCTCAGATTAAGTGACTATTTTGGAATCTGACATATCTGCACAATTATGTGTTATTGACACAATATTTACCCATCAGCTGATAAAAAAATCTAAAATCAACCTGAATGATAAAAACATTCTAGAGAACTCAGTATTTCACTCAAGTACTGCACATTTTGAGGTACTTGTACTTCCATTCTGAACTATTTCTATGTTTTAAATATAAAGAAATAGTTAAACATGGAAATATACTTTATGATCATTTTATGAAAGACAATATTATAGATTGTTGTGGCTGGTTTAGTTTTAGACTCATTATCTGGAATTAGATGAGTTGTTTGAATCCCAAAGAGACCAAATGATGCAATATTTCAATAAAATTTTGAGATTAGAGAAAACAATTTAAAACATTAAGAGATTTCAGTTTTTATTATTTACAAAAAACTGTAGATATGAGCACCACCAGCCTCAGTGGAGATTCCTAAATAAAGCTTGCATGCTCCTTTTCTCATGGTTGCTGCCCAGCTGAAGATGAGACAGTGGACGAGGGCGGGGCCTCGCTGAGTGGAGCACCACTGGCTCAGATCTGGAGTTGGTCCTCGGGCACCATGTGGTGGATGCCCACTGCTCCCAGTACTTGGGATGGAGATTAAATGCAGAGAATGAATTACTGTGAAGGGTTTCAGTAAAGGATAACTTAGTTTCAGCCTAAATCGCCTTCGGTAGAGTCTTCATCATTTCACTAAATACACAGACAACAGGCAAACTGCAAACACAACCAAAAACAGATTTAACTGATTGGTTTTCCTCTTCACTCTCAGGTCTTTAGTAAAAAGACTTCTGCATTATTAAGACAAACCAAAGACAATACTGCCCTCTGCTCAAGAGTTGCTGAAGTCTGGTGTCCTCCCAGCCACTACAGTCCTAGTTAGCCTCCCTTGGCTTATTGCCTTCCAGGATCCCAGGCCACATCCATTCCCCTAACCATGAACTTGGCATAATACCAGAGTAATGTTGCATTTTCACAGAAAAAGTTTACTTGTGGGTTAATTTCTTCTTGTTAATTAGATGACATGATGCTATTTAAATGAAAGAAGGCAGTCCTGGAGGTTTGCTTTATGTGGGAATTAAATGACATGTCCTGATCAAAGATAACTCCAAGATTCCTGACAGTGGTGCTAGAGGCCAAGTTAATGCCATCTAGAGTAACTATATCTTTAGACAGTGAGTCTCTGAGGTTTTTGGGGCCAAGTACATAACTGAAGTTTTGCAGCTCATCCAGGTTTTTATGTCCTTAAGACATGTTTGTAATTTAGATAACTGATTAATTTCATCTGGCTTGATTGATAGATATAACTGCGTATCATCTGCATAACAGTGGAAGTTAATGGAGTGATTCCTAATAATGTTGCCTAAAGGGAGCATATATAAAGTAAATAGTATTGGTCCAAGTACAGAACCTTGTGGAACTCCATGACTAACTGTAGTATTTATTTAAGATTCATCGTTAACATGTACAAACTGAGAACAATCTGATAAATATGACTTAAACCAGCTTAGTGCGGTTCCTTTAATGCCAATTTGATGCTATTAGACTAGTCTATTAGAAAAATATTATGGTCAATGGTGTCAAATGCAGCACTAAAAGCTAACAATACAAGTACAGAGACAACTTCGTGTTTTATGGCACGCCATTCGACTTACAGTCACAACTATTAATCATGATGGTCTTTACTAATTCTGGGGGCTGTTTCTGCTACCCCTGAATTTTGTGCAAAGTTTAATGGGTTTTTGAGCGTGTTAATGCCTCCAAACATGCGATTCATGTTAAAATAATAATAATAGCCCTAAATATATTTCCAGCCAGTAGTAAACAAAAATCTGTTATATCTGACATTGTATAACACAAACATGCAAGGAAAAGAGTTTTTAGAGCCAGTAAATGAAATGATCAGTTCTTATTTTCAGAGACAAATGCGTCAGAGCTGCTCTGAGAGAGTTAAGTATGAACACAATGTGGAGAAAATATAATGCAGTGGAAAAGCCCTTTAAACCGTCAGTCTGTCCTGATGCCGAGCTCGGTTGGAAGTCTCCTCAGGCCAGGACGCCGGGCCATCTGGGAACAGTTAACCAGCATCTGTAACAGTAAACCAGAGCAGCTCCCCCAGCACCAAACTGGGTAATAACAACTATTATTCTCCTCTTCACAAAGCTGAACTCATGACGTATTAAACAGCTCCTCCTGACCATATACAGCATGTGTTTGTGTGAATGTTTCCTCAAAATGTAGCAGAACAGACAGTCAGTGGTTTATTGGAGGGAAGTTTTACAACATTTCACTTTATTAAGATCAGAGCGGCTTCATTAAGACGACATGCTGCAGCAACAATACGCTAGCTACCAATGCTAATCCGTAAATTTATTCCAAACAAAGTGGATGTTACAGTTTAATATTTAAACACTAAGAGAAATGTCATTTTAATCCTTTAAGATCACATCCTCAGTTATATTGTTCCTCTAATTACCGATTATGAAATTGAGACCTTCTGCCTCCACCTACAGCCTCACTGCACCTGTGCGTTACCGTCCTTCCTCTTTAAGACAGGTGGGCTTGTGGGTAACCTGAGTGTGTGACTGTGTTAGCTACTTAGCTGCTAAAAAAACCTAAAAGCACAAACGCGATCAGATTGATGTTGTTTGACCTGCAGCTTCCAGCTCCATATTTCAGTGTGACGTAACAGCACTCGTTCATATATCTAATATTATCTTATCATTGTCTATTTCTGTAACTATTATGACAACTATAAACCTACTTTTACTGTTAGAGCTGCAGGTTATAACCCTCTGACTCTGATTTGAGACAAACTGAACAGACTTTCTGTGTTTCTGTGTTATTTGTCCGATATTCAGCAGGAAATTAAGCGTCTGTGTTCAGACGTTCATCACAGCTGTATTTTTAGTCTGCAGTTATTTGTTTTGTGGTTGAAATGATCTCAGAGCAGTTTAATGATGTTCTATGTCTGTTTCCCTTCTTGTTCATTTTGTTCATTTTGTTTTGGACTTTGGGGAATTAAAAGTGTCACAGACGAGAGGAATTGTACATTTATTATCTGTCAGAGTGGTTGAAGTTTTATATTTGATCCCAGACAGCGTCAGACTGCAGACGTCACAACAGGCTCCTTTCACTGAGGCAATCGCTGAAATCTGTCCAATCAGGTCAGTTTGCAGCATTCGAACAGAAACAGCAGCGTTGTGGGGACACAGACATCTTCACTCAGTTCAACCTGTAATTACAGTCGTATCCATTGTATCTGATTCTAGGGAAGAAAACAAGTAATAGTTTAATTATCTCTGATATTATTTCCTCATTTAATTAGCTGTAAGTTCTAAATCTACATAGAGATCAGAATCAGGTTTATTTCCAAGTAAGTTTACACATACAAGGAATTTGCATTGGTGCATAGGAATCAGATGATGGAGAACAAAAGAATATATATATGTATCATGTAGACATTTCTCCCTTTTGGTTTGGGATATTTTCTTATAATATTTATTGTTGTTGCTGTTATTTAACTCTCTGATACAATAAAGGAATCTTGAATCTCTTGAATGTCGAGCAGTTTCAGTTTGTTACTGCAAATTAACTCCAGATAATTGATTGTTTCAGTGGTTTTGTTCCCCACCTGTCCATCCATCAGTGTGTCTGTCTGTACGTACAGACTCTCTGTTGGACAGTACACACAGTCTGTACATACAGTTGGACAGTAACATGGTGTTGTGTTCACTGACTGACCCTCAGGCTCATTTAAAGGTCGTTTTACCGTCTGTTTCACTTTACCGTCGCTGCTTTGACTCTGAGTTTCCACTTGTTATTTCCAGCAGCTCGCTGCCGTCCAGCTCACAGAGCTGCAGTATCTTTTTATTGACGGGGAGGGGACGTGTGTGTGTGTGTGTGTGTGTGTGTGTGTGTGTGTGTGTGTGTGTGTGTGTGTGTGTGTGTGTGTGTCACATTGTGGGAACAAAAACTGGTTCACACAATTACAGTGTGGGGACCAGAAGCTCGTCCTCACAAGCTTAACAATTCATTTTATGGTCCAGACTTGGTTTTTGGTCAGAGGGACTGAGGTTTGGGTTTCAGTCAGTGTATCTGTGACATATCTCTGTATAATATTTACTAAAAATGGTAATGCCATTTATTGAGCAAAGTGCTCAATAAATAAAGGATTATCACTATAAGACAAAAACTGATTGCTTGTTATCACAGAAAGAAATAAAATAATAAATAAATTATCTTTTAACCATCTTCAAAATGTGGTTGTCATTTCAACATAGATTAGCTTAGCATATAGCATATGTCCACTGTTATTGGAGCACAGAGCCAAAAGGGGCGGGACTTAGTAGAGCAGGAGGATACGTAGATGTTGAATATAATTTCTTTTATATGTTGGATGAAAAATAATCCTCCTCAGATTCCTGAAATATATGAACAGATGGATTCAGATTCAATATCTCTGATCACCATCTGATGCTGAATCAATAAAGTTCCTCCTCCACTTTCTCTCCAGGATAATTGGACAGATGTTAACATCTGGTCACAAATGGAGGCATTTCCTGTTTGTGCACCAATCAGGACATTAAAGCTCCTGTTCTGGAAGGGAGAAGTTAAAGGTGTGTGTGTGTGTGTGTGTGTGTGTGTGTGTGTGTTTGTGTGTGTGTGTGTGTGTGTGTGTGTGTGTGTGTGTGTGTTTGTGTGTGTGTGTGTGTGTGTGTGTGTGTGTGTGGAGCAGCCAGGAGGAGGTGTGTTTACTGTGCTCCTCCTCCTCCTCCTCCTCACTCTCTCTCCTTCATCAGAGCAGCAGTTCAGATTCAACCCATCGACACACACACACACACACACACACACACACTCTCAGTATTTTCTTCTTCATCCTCACTCATGGATTATTGCCGCCTTTTTGTTCTGCTGCTGTCGACCTGCAGCTTCCTGCCAGGTGAGTGAGGGAGAGAGAGAGAGAGAGAGAGAGAGAGAGAGAGAGAGAGAGAGACACAGGTGTTGCTGATGGATTGTTGACTCCATGTTGAGCTTCAAGCATCTTATCAGAGCTCCTTATTGGAAACCACCTGTTGCCACGGCGACAGATTGATAACAGTATCGAGGGGACGGTTCGGGTCTGCAGAGGGACCAGAAAGGTGTTCCTGATATTTCACACTGGGAGGAGTTTTTAATGAAAATGTAGAGAAAGTAAACAACTCCTAAAAGAGAATTTATCTTAAAGGTAATGAACATGTTTAAGTTTCTATACTTCATTTTTATTTGTTTCTGTAACTTGTGAAAGTTTGTGTCACTTGAAATTAAGTAAAAGCAAATTAATCAGGCATCTTTTCTCAAGTTACAAAACTGGGTTTATTTAAATTAAATCGGGTTTTATTGTGAAGAAATCTTTGCTTTTTACCGACAAAACATCAAAGCACATTTTTTATTTAATCTAGTGTTCGTATTTAAAGTCTTTAGAGCAGCTGGTGAACAGTCTCTACAGGCATTCAAACACTGTATTTGATGCTCTGTGTTTCCTGTGGAGACCTTTAAAGCACATTTCTAACATTAATTATCCCCTATAAGACTTTATAAACCTCTAACAGTCTTTATAGTGAGACTTTATAACGAACTCTGCTTTGAGCTTTTATTATCAGTGTAGTCACTGTTTACTGTAATATCACTACTTTCGGTGGTAATTAGTAATGTTACTAATTATGTTTCCAAATTAAATGACAGAAATTGATTAAGATTAAGAGATTAACTAGCCCGTTAAAGTTTACATCTTCTCCTGTGTACAGACTCATTACTGCCCTCTGCTGGTCGGGTTGCTGCTGGTTTGTCTCACAACAACATTAAAATTCAATTCAATTCAATTCAATTTTGTTTGTATAGCACCAATTCATAACAGAAGTTATCTCAGGACACTTTTCAAATAGAGTAGGTCTAGACCGAACTCTTTAAAACATTATTTACAGAGACCCAACAGTACCACCATGAGCAAGACCTTGGTGACAAGGGCAAGGAAACACTGCCTGTTAAAAGGCAGAAACCTAGGACAGATCCTCCGGCTCTAGGTGGGTGGTCGTCTGTCTCGACCAGTTGGGGTGAGAGAGAGAGAGAGACAGAGAGAGACAGAGAGAGAGAGAGAGAGAGAGAGACAGAGAGAGAGAGAGAGAGAGAGAGAGAGACAGACAGACAGACAGACAGGTGCACAGCAACAACAGTATTGGCTCCACCAGGATCGATAAGAACCTGAGAGACGAGAAAGCACAAGAACTCCGGGGAAGAAGTGAAGTTAGTAACATGCATTAATGGAACATGAATGAGGGCAGAAAGAGAGAGGAAGAGAGGAGCTCAGTGCACCATGGGAAATCCCCCGATACTCTAGGCCTATAGCAGCATAACTAAGGGATGGTTCAGGACTCACCTGATCCAGCCCTAACTATAAGCTTTATCAAAGAGGAATGTCTTAAGCCTACTCTTGAATGTGGTGAGGGTGTCTGCCTCCCGAACCACAACTGGAAGCTGGTTCCACAGGAGAGGAGCTTGGTAACTGAAGGCTCTGGCTCCTGTTCTACTTTTAGAGACTATAGGAACCACAAGTAGCCCAGCATTCAGAGAACGTAGTGTTCTAGTGGGGTAATAGGGTACTATGAGCTCTTTAAGATATGAAGGGGCCTGACCATGAAGAGCTTTATAGGTGAGGAGGAGGATTTTAAATTCTATTCTAAATTTTACAGGGAGCCAATGCAGAGAAGCTAGTATAGGAGAGATGTGATCTCTTTTTCTAGTTCCTGTCAGTACTCGTGCTGCAGCGTTCTGAATTAATTGGAGCGTTTTAATGGACTTATTGGGGCAACCTGATAATAAAGAGTTGCAGTAATCCAGCCTTGAAGTAACAAATGCATGGATTAGTTTTCTGCATCTGTCTGTGATAGTATGTGTCTAATTTTTGTAATATTACGTAAATGAAAGAAGGCAGTCCTAGAGGTCTGCTTCATGTGGGAGTTAAATGACAAATCCTGATCAAAGATAACTCCAAGATTCCTGACAGTGGTGCTAGAGGTCAAGGTAATGCCATCTAGAGTAACTATATCTTTAGACAGTGAGTCTCTAAGGTTTTTGGGGCCAAGAACAAGAATTTCATTTTTTTCTGAGTTTAACATCAGAAAATTGCAGGATTTTATACCCTTAAGACCTGTTTGTAATTTAGATAATTGATTCATTTCATCGGGCTTGATCGATAGATATAACTGCGTATCATCTGCATAACAGTGAAAGTTAATGGAGTGATTCCTAATAATGTTGCCTAAAGGGAGCATATATAAAGTAAATAGTATTGGTCCAAGTACAGAACCTTGTGGAACTCCATGACTAACTGTAGTCTTATTGAAGATTCATCGTTAACATGTACAAACTGCGAACGATCTGATAAATATGACTTAAACCAGCTTAGTGCGGTTCCTTTAATGCCAATTTGATGCTCAAGTCTCTGTAAAAGAATATCATGGTCAATGGTGTCAAATGCAGCACTAAGATCTAATAATACAAGTACAGAGACAAGTCCATTGTCAGAAGCAATCAGAAGGTCATTATTAACTTTAACCAGAGCTGTCTCTGTGCTGTGATGAACTCTAAATCCTGACTGAAAATCCTCAAATAAACTATTGTTATGTAGAAAGTGACACAACTCTTTGGCGACTACTTTCTCCAGAATCTTAGAGAGGAACGGGAGGTTAGAAATCGGTCTATAGTTGGCTAAAACCCCTGGGTCAAGAGTGGACTTTTTAAGAAGGGGTTTAATTACAGCTACTTTAAAGGACTGTGGTACATATCCTGATAATAAAGAAAGATTAATCATATCCAGTAAAGAAGTGCCAATTAAGGGAACAACTTCTTTAAGCAGCCTAGTTGGGATCGGGTCTAATAGACAGGTTGATGGCTTCGATGAAGAAATGATTGAAGTTAACTGATGAAGATCGATAGCAGAAAAACAGTATAAATATATCTAAGTTTACATTGGCAGAAGTCCCTGAACTTGGAGAGCCACTGATAACTGTTGATGGCAGTTGGTGATTAATTTTCTCTCTAATAGTAATAATCTAGTAAGTCTCCTATGTTTTACATTTTTTTTTTTTAAATAATAAATCTGACAGCTGTGAGCATTAATAAGAGTACTGAAGTAACTTTCCCTAGTAACTAATTACTTTTATATGCAGTAGTTTGTAGTTATTTAATTAGAGAAGTAACTGTAAATAATTATTTTTCTTGCCCAATAACTTATAGTTCAGTAAAAAGGTGTGTTGGAAGTGGAGGGGAGTCTGGATGAAGCTAGCTGACAGTATTTTGTCCAGCTAAAAGCACAATATTACAATATATTCCACAAGCTTCGCAGTAATGTTAACAGATCAGCCCAGAGAGTCTGGATGGAGCTAACTTACAATATTTGACATATTGCATGTCCTCTAAGTTCTTCACAATAAAAGCTAAATGTTCAACAGAAAAGAGAAGAAGAGCTTAAATTTATCAGTACACATAAGTTAGTATCATGGTAGCGGTAATGTTAGCCGGCTGTCATCGCAAAGCTAGGCGACAAAGTGACCTGCAAACAGCTAGCTGACATTATCCAGCTAACAGCACAGTCAGATGTTCCACTAGCTTAGCATTAATGTCTGTTGGCACTCGGGAGCATAAAGGTCACAACCTTTGACCCTCAACCTACATAGAGACACATAGAGATCAGTCCACAGACAGCAGAGGGACAAAGCTACACTACAATCTGTTCACTCTCTGACTCACACACACTGACTCACACACACACACACACACACACACACAGACACACAGACACACACACACACACACACACAGACACACACACACACACACACACACACACACACACACACTGACACACACACACACACACACACACACACACACACACACTGATTCACAATCTCACATATGGAAACGTTAAATAAGTTTTCCTCTGTTTGAATCTGATGGTGGTTAAGATATAAGATCAGATGAGGTCACCACAGTTATTAGGATTCACTTTCATATTAGAACAAATTCAATATCAATCTTTCCTGTAGTTGCAGAGTTAAAGCACATTCAGTCAGTAATCCCAGTGGACGAAGTCAGAGAACATTTTCCTGTTTCACTCTGATTAAATTGTGTTTCTATACATTGAAGCTAAAGCTTTGTCGTCCCACTGGTCCCTAAATTGAATCAGTGTGGAGTTTGGTTGGATGCTGCGAGGCTGTGGACGTTTCCCTCGGGGTTCAGCCTGCAGGTCAGCCAGTGATGGGTTATTTCTCCGGGAACTCAGAGGTGGAAATTGTTTTTTATGGCAGGTTGTGGCTTTTAGGCCGATCGTTAAACTCACACAGCAACACATCCGTCATAATGCGGTGGGTAACATCAGTTACCACCGGCCTCGCTCAGGATGAAACACAGAACTCGCTCCCTGTTTGCACCTTCGTGTCCAGTTACTTCTGGAAACGGGTTTGAATCCCACCAAACTGTCTTCCAGCTGTCTCCCTCTCTCTGGTGTTAAACTCCACCTATGTGGCACTCCACTTGTACAAAACAAACAATCAGAGAAATACGACTTGGCCGAGTCATGCTGCCGCCTTGGCACCACATCTGCACTTCATAGTAACCACAGACATGCGTTTTATTTTGTCTGTAACGAAGAAGCTTCAGGGACAGAACAGTCGGAGGATTTTAGTTTCTTTGTCTGATGCATAAAAAAAAAGTTTTATGTAACTAAAGAAAATAAAATGAGTCCTTAATTTTTCAGCCAGTGCCGGGAGTAACAGAGTGTACGCTGGACGGGGATCAAGACAACCCTTGATACGTGTCATCTTATGTAAGGAGAAAGTTTCACACCAAACTCCATTCAGAAAATCCAGAATTTAACGTCCTTGCTCACTGGAAGAGATATTT